GCGGGGCCGGCACCTTCTCCGTAGCCGCGGTACTTATTCATGGCCTTGCTGGGGGCAGGGGCTGCTGAGGCCCCCGCTCTTCCCGATGGGCTCTGCCCTTCAGCATTTGCTGTGTGTGGGGCGGCAGGGCCCGAGGCTCTCCCAGCGGGAGAAGGGGAGCCTTGACTGCAGGCTGGATCTGTGGATGATTCCAGGCTCCGCTCGGCTGGCTCCACGCGCTGCCCTACTTCCTCCTGCCCACAACCAGCAGCTCTGGGAGCAGGGAAGGGCGGCTGCCCATGGAGTGGGGCCGTGAGTCCTGTCCCCACAGCTGTGCCGCCGAGCGGAGCCTTTGGGAGGGCGCTGGGCAGCGCGCGCCCGCGGCGGGCACCCGCGCGGCGGGGTTTGCACCTGGCACCTCTGCCCGCCTGGGAAACCCGAGCCTGGCCAGCGGGTTCTGCCCAGGAATGTGAGCGGAGGCCCCGGGGCCATCGGGGCGAGAGGAGCAGCGCGAGGGTCCCCGAGGCCTCAGCGAGTCAGTGGCATCCTCGGGCATCCCAAGTCGGTGATGGCCCCAGGGAACTGGTTTTCCAGCAGCCAATGTGAGCGGATAAGGTATATACAGATATACATATATGTATGTTCCAGTACTGCCGGTGCTCGTTGCTTTTAGTGGCAACAGATTCCACGTTTTAATTAAGAGAGCTACGAGGATCCTCCCTGCCGTGCTGGGGCTCCCTGGAAGCGGAGAGCTCCTGATTTCCATACAGGCTCATTTATTGTGAGGTTCCAGTCGGAGCCTCAGCCCTGTGGCCTTTCCCCGAGCTGTGGTGCAGGCTCCATAACGATGCTGATGCCAATTATATTTATGGCAATAGATGCAGATGCTCCTGAGAGCAGCCAGGAGCTTCCTTGCCCAGAAAGCCCCTGTCCCCAGTGCCGTATCCAGCCAGAGCTGCTGATGTCAGGACCCTGTTTACAGCAGAGCCCGATTTGGCTTCTGGGGACAAGTGACTTAGCGCTGCAGCGCTGTGAACATTAATGCAGCAATTCGGGAGTTTACATATGAGCTCCGAGCTTCTAAGTGCAGCCCGTTGCCTCTGCCTCCCATCAAAGCAGCGCCGCAGCTTCAGAGCCGCTCTTTGATTTGCATCTCCCGAGCAGCAAAACAGCAGCCTGAGGAAAAGCAAGTGGAGATGACAGGGAAGTTCTTTGCTCCACCTTCCCGGCTATAGAAGCTGCTGCAGCTTTTATTCCTGCTTAGGGGAGGTCCTTGCCCAGCTTCCCAGGACACATCCAAGCCGCAGTGTTTGCAGCGGGGAGCAACTATTTAAAGTGCCGACCTGGGGGGTGGCACCGAGCACGGGCTCCAAGGATGGGAATGTTGTGGGGAGGGTTTAATGGGCGAAAACCACTGTGCTGTGGCTGTGCCCTCCCGCTAGCTGTGTGTTTAATGCAGCCCCCGGGCCAGGGCTGGTTCTTTGGCTCCTGCTGGCCCCTCGCCCTCGGTCCAGGGCTGCCGTCACCCCCGGTGCTGCGAGCTGCTCGGGAGTCACCCCAGCACTTGGGAAAGGAATGTTAAAGGGCTGTTATGTAAACGCGCCGTGCCTGAACAGACTGTGTTTTCAGTGTAAATCTGCTGCAGGGAATGATTAAACCTTCATTTGGTCTCTTTTTTATTATTTCATTAAATAAGATTTATACAGGTACAGCCCTGGAAAGGTCATCCGTGCCCGGAGCGCTGGGAAGGACTCGGCGCATTCCTCCCTTTCCACCTCCCTGTTCACTGGTCGTTCAGGGATGCAAAAGCACCGGACTTAGTGCCAGGGCTGTTCTGGGGATCTGATTTATGCAGGACCAGAATTTATCCATACCTGGACCAGGTGCAGGAGCTCCCTCCACAGCTCCCTCACGCCCAGCGTGTTCCAGACCGAGCCTGGCTGCTGGCTGCCACTTCCATAAGGGACAAGTCCCTTGCAGTAACGAGCAATGAGGCTGACCAAGCCACTTGCAATAAGCACTTGCAAAGCCATTTAATGGCAAAATTGGGGTGACTTGTGACACCTACGTGTGCGTGCCGGCCTCGTGCTCTTCATCATAGAAGATGAAGAGCAGGTGCCCTGCTCGGCAGGCAGGCTTGGGCCTCCCTTGGCAGGGAGGGAAGGGGCACTCAGAGAGCCCCATACGTTATTTTTTCAGCCTCTCCATGATCCCCTCTTCCCTTTCGGGAAGGACGAGCCCGAGCACACTGAGGGGAGGAGGAGGATGTGCTTTAACAGTAAATATAGCCTTGTTATTTATCGATGCAGAGTAATTGAAGTAATTTCACGTCGTTTTTAAAGGCAGTGCCTTGGGATCTAATCTCTCTGTCTGATATTAATGGGTAATATTTGGTTGCCTCGTTCATTCATTACTGTTTTCATTATGACTCTAATCCCATTTAGGAGTCTGTTTGTCATTTTAAACTCCTCGGTTTTATCCTGGCGCGCCGTAATCCTCTCTTGCAACCGAAACTGGGGAGCTGCAGGGCTGTGGTTTGGAGAAGGGGCCTCTGCCGCCCCGCGCGTGGTCGGGTGGGAATGCGGCAGCATCTGGTGACACGTGTGGCCTCGGAGCCTCCGCTTCGGCTCGTGGCCTCCCCTCGGCCCCTGCGGTGCCGAGCCAGGATCCTGAGGAGTCCGCGGCTAATTAGCGTTCCCGGGATCCGACCCATTGTGCCATTAATGAGGCTCTGGCACCGCTCCGACTAAAACAGTCATTTTAATAAGCCCAGCCCACTCGTACGTGTTGGTGGAGCACCTAATTACCCTGCTCCCAGCTCCAGCCGTGTTCAGACCTCTCTTTTTACCACTTACTTACCAAAGAGCACGGCAGAGCAGTGCGCTCCTTATAGTTATTCACCTTAATTAATTTTCTGTTCAATGCAGCAGGGCTGCAGGCCGGGTGGCGTCGGCACTCGAGCAGCCGCAGCCCCGGCAGCTGCTCCCGCCGTCCGCACTCTTGCTTGGTGCCAAAATTCCCAGGTTCTGCCCTGGGAAACCTCTCCCGTCCTGGTGCTCCGGCAGCTGGTGAGAAGCGAAGGGGGCTCGTGGGGCACAGAGCCCAGCATGCCGCAAAGGCCGCTCGGATCAGGGTTTCAGGGAGTTTCTCCGCACGCTCCTGCAGCGCTGTAATTAAATAATCCCTTTGTAGTCATGGAAACGTTGTCTCCGGGTCCTCTCCCACTCACCGTTCCGCTGCCCGACGTCGCGGGCGCCGCTTCGATGCCGCCAGCCCTGCGGCGGCTCCGCTGCCCTCCGTGCGGAGCGGCTGCAGGGCGCAGGGCCCGGGACGGCCCGGCCTCTCCCGGGCATGAGGAGCTCTTGAGGGAGCTGGAACGGGGCCTCGGGGCAGCCGCTGGAGCCGCCGCTGCCCCTGCAGCAGCCCCTGCCCCGGGATGCTCTGGCTCTCGCTGAGTTAGTTCATCAGCGGGGACGTCGGGGCTCAGGCTGGCCCTGCACAACACACCCCTGAAGACCTTGCACGCGGTTGCTGTGAGTGCCGGGAGCACTTGGGTGACTAATCTTCATCCGTGTAAACAGAGAGAACTATTTGCTTTTGCAGAGTAAGTACAGAGAAGCAGAGCCCTTTCCAAACAGCCCCCTGCGCTTCCCGCAGGGCTGCCCGGGGCTGCAGCGCCCGCGGAGCCGCGAGGTGCCCGACCCACATGCTCCTGCCCCTGTGCTCCTGTGCAACTCCCAGCGTCTCCTCCAGCTTTTACCTGGCCACCCTGGAGAAAGGATCATTCCTCTGCCTGATCCCAGTGACTCTCTGCTGGATTTTTCCCAAATCAGTGGTGATCCAGGGTGTTTTTCCTGGTTATCCGCGAATCTGCACCATGGTGCCTTGTGTCCTGCTCTCTCTCAGCACGGGACTTCAGATACAAATGCTCGTATCTCCCCATGATAACTATGCTGGCAGAGCAGAGCTGAAAAACACATAGGGCCAAGAGCTTTTCTCTGCTAGCCCTGGGAGGAAGAAGGGAATTGCGCTGTCCCGCTCCGCAGTCTCTGGAAGAAGCAGCTCTCAGCCACACAGAATCGCAGTAGCTTTGCGCTAACACGTGGAAATAGCCAACTTCCAGTGGGATTTCTCCTGTTTTTCCATTAAAATGAAATATTTTCTTTAGTGTACTGGAGTCTGTTAGGTATTTGGGTTGTAACGATGGCCAATAACATCTTGGTCTTATGAGCACTGGGCCACGGACCTGCAGGCACTGCTCTGGAGCCGTTGGCAGCGGGATCTCGGATCCGGCTCACGCTCCTCTCTGTCATATGCATCTCTTCCCATCTCCGAGCCGGAGCCGTCCCTGCGTGCAGCATCCGCTGCTCGCAGTCCTGCTCCGCAGGCTCCGCGTCCCCTGGCGCTCGGGTTCGCCCAAGCCCAGCCGTGCGCATCCCGCGGCCTCGGGCTCCGCCGGGAGCGCCGCTCCGCGCAGATGCGCGCGGTTCGTGTTGTAGGGAAGGCTGTCGAGTGGGGCTCAGGAAACAAGAAGAATAGCAGCCCTATTGGTGTCATGTTTAGAGAGGAACTGGGTTCTCACTATATCAACAGCACTTGGCGTCAAAGTGGCCTTTGTCCGCCGAGACACTGCTGCCTTTCAGCCCCGCGCGGCCCAGCTGCTGCGGCCGTCCGCGCTGCACCGGCACGGCCCCGGCATGGCCCAGCACCCGGCACAGCACCCGGCACAGCACCCCATACAGCACCGTCATGACCCCGCACAGCACCCCATACAGCACCCGGCACAACAGCCTTTCTCCTGCTTTTTTGCAGGCAGCAGCAAGTAGAGCCTTGCCCAAGTGACCAAATGGCCTCATGACTCGGTGTCTAATATTTCCCATTCTCTGGCTTCTGCACAGGTGTCCGAGTGAGGTCCCTGGAGCCTGTGGACTGCTTTTGTGTGCCCCGGTGGCGGCTCAGGAGGCTGGTGGGCACGAGGCCTGGCGCCGGGCGCTCACCGCGCGCTGCTGCTTCCCTTGCAGGTGTCGCGGGTGCCGGTGGAGTCCTGCGAGCAGTACACGACGTGCGGCGAGTGCCTGAGCTCCGGGGACCCGCACTGCGGCTGGTGCACCCTGCACCACATGTAAGTGCATGTGCACCTTTGGAGAGGTGGGATGCAACCTGGAGAGGTGGGATACACTCTGGAGAGGTGGGATAGACCAAGCAAATTCCCTCCTTTGGAGAGGGTGTCCTGGGGCACAGGGGGACACAGAACACAGATCCATGGCAGCAGGACCTCTGTGCTGAGCTCTCCTGCTCGGGACACAGGCCGGCTTGGCCAGGCGAGCGGGACCTATTAAACGTCACTGGCAGAGGTGGAAACTCTGCATGGGAAGGTGGGAGCGCATCCGCTCGGGCAGCACGAGGGAGCGGGCGAGCATGGTGCCGCCGCGCGCAGCGGCCACCCAGGGCTGTGGCTTCCCCCCGGCCGGGAGGCCGCTCTGAATGCACAAGGGGTCTGTCCCGCGGCCCCGGCGGAAGGGGGACAAGGGGAACCCAGCAAGGGGAGGGCGGGCGGGCCCCGGGCACGGGGAATAGAGATCCCGGCGGCCGCGTGCCAGCTCGCACAGCGTCACGGGAAGCCGAGCGGGGTCAGGCCCCGCGCCGCGCTTGGCCCCGTGCCCAAGCGGCAGGTGTTGGGAGGGTGGGAAAGGAGAGGGAAGGCAGCGTGGATGCAAAATCCGGCCTGGATCAGGGCCGCTCTGCGTCACTCCGGGTGGAAAGGGGCTCGCGGCGCCCGGCTCCCTTTCCCGGGCTCGTGACCCGAATCCTGCGAGCCAGCCGGGAGGTGGGTGAAGGCTGTTATCTTCACTGAACAGAGAGAAAACCCTCCATGTGGAGAGCAGAGAAGGGCATCGTTCCCTCTGCCCTTTTGGCCAGGATGTTTTGCATTAATCTCTTCCCAGCGAGAGCTCCTTGATGCTGCTGCTCAGCCCTCTGCTGAGTTCTCCCGCCTTGCTGCGCTGCTCGAAGCAGTGATTACTTTTTAGCCCTTGTCTTAAGCTCTAGATAATTGGGTTCGCTCACTGCCACTGAAGCCTCTGTCACGCTGGTGTAGAGGCCCCTGCACAGTTTGTGTTCAGTTTGGCTCCTTGCTCCTCTGATTCCTTCGCTTCCCCAGGAAGCCAGAGAAGTTTTCAGAAGTTTTCTCATACATGAGAAAGAGGGAATTTCGGCTCCTGCTCTGGTCACACGGGTGTTCCAAGGGAGCGGGTGGAAGCCTCGAGGAGGAGGATAAGGAGCCTCTCCAGCCCGCTGGGATTAGAAACCTGCAAGACTCTTCCCTGTGCTGCTCTCTGCAAGTGCCTTATTGTCTACAGCCCGATTTATCTCTGTTAGGGCTGTTGCCATAAATAGTATGATAAAAAAGAACCATTCCAGCAAGTCAATGAGATAAAGGCTCCAGTCAAGAGCTCACTTTAAAGGTATCTTACAGATTCACTTAAACCTCAATAATTCTTCCTTGGGCAGCATTCATATTTAGCTCCATTATATCCCCAAAAAAAGAAGGGCAAGAGGGTGCAGAGAGCAGCGGGAGTATTTGCAGGGGCTGCTTGGGAGACAAAAGCAGAAACTTCACTACCCGTTTTCAGAAGGAAATAGCGTCTTGGCCAGGATGATCAGTCACTTTTTTGGTGCTCAGGAGATTTTGCAAGTTGGTGTTGAGCTGATCTCAGGTAGATCTGGCCTGGCCAAAGCCCGGCTTTACGTGGGCGGCCAGGTTGCTGCTAACGCACAGGTTGGGGTGAGAGGGCCTGAGGAAGCAGCCTGAGCGACGGCGTTCACGTAAACAGCAAGGAGGAACTTCCCGGTGACCATACCCTGATCCCCCAGCCTTTGCACTGCAGTTTGAAGTAAGGTCAGGATCGATAGCGGTGGAAACTGGTGAGGTTTGCTGATAGTTCATTAACACCTTTAAAATGCCAATATGTGTCGTGTGCTCCCAGGAGCGGAGCCTGAAGAGCAGCATTTCCCCAAATGACACAAGATAGAAAATCAGTGCGGGATCCCGCTGCTGTGCAGTGTTGTCTAGTGTCTAGTAGCTGAAGCATTTCCCTAATTCTTGCTTTCCTGGTGGGCACCGCTCTGTGCCCACGCTTAGTGTTTCCCGCTCCTGGAAGCGGGAATGGGAGCAAACCGTGGAGAGCGAGGCAGGGAAGCCAGGAAACGCTCAGGCTGCCACTGGAGGAGCCACCCCCGTTCTCTCCAGCCTTAGGAAGAGAGGATGAACAAGCTGCATGTTTTTGGTTAAATTAAAATGGAGGCAGCTTCTCTGACTGCTTTTCGCAGCTGCAGAGCTGCAGTTTGGGTGCAGATTATGGGTTTATGGCTCTCGGGAAGGATGCACGGAGGGTGCTGTGCTGTTGGGCACACAGAAGCCGGTCCCGGGATCCGGCAGCGGCGCCGTTCCCGGGGTTGGGGGGTGTTTCCCAGGGTCGGGCACACTGACATGTGCTCGTGTGCCAGGTGCTCGCCGAGGGACAGCTGCGAGCGGGCGGACGAGCCGAACCGCTTCGCTGCCACCATCGGCCAGTGCATGAGCGTCACCGTGCAGCCCAGCAGCATCTCCGTGTCCGAGCACAGCCTCCCGGTAGGTGCTGGCGAGCCGGGTAGGGGCCGTTTTTGTGCATTTCCAGCCCATTTCGGGTGCACAACCATCGCTCCGTTTTCCAGCCTTTCTCCCTTCTTGGAAGCACAGATGTTTCTGCCTGAGGTCAGGCTTGCAGAGGGGCCACTATGGAGAGGACTGGAGCAGGCAGGGAGCAAATCCCCTCTCCTGCTGCCCGGCTCGCACTTGCCCTGCTCGGGTTTCACTAGCTGCTGAAGGAGAGGCTTTGTTTCCCCGGTCCCCTGGGAGCCGCGTGCCCAGCCTCACTTCTCCCGGGTGTCCCAGCTGCGCACGGAGCAGCTCAGCTCTGCCGCGGGCGCCGCGGCTCCGGCTGCCCTGCCACAAGTGCTGCCACAGCTGGGGCCTGGAGCAGCTGCCCTCGTGTCCTCCTGCCGCGCCGGGACCTCGTGTCCCCCTGCCCGGCCTCCCCGCCACGTGTCCTGCCTGTGCCTTGGCCACCCGCAGCCGTGTGCCATGGAGGTACCCACGGCCTCCCCACGCTGAGCATCACTGCTTGTGTCAGAACGTGCGTGATGCCATCAGTCCCGAAGTGCTGGCTGTTCCATGGGAAACTATTCCAATGGGAATCATGGGAATCCGAGGGGTCACTGTTCCCTGGGAATAGCTGGAACCGCAGCAGAGACTCGAGCAGCTCTGGCTGCAGCCGGGTCCCCCTTGTCCCTCATCTCTCCGTGCCTCTGCTTTGCCCCTGCTCAGCTCAGCCTGCTGGTGAGCGACGCGCCAGACCTCTCGGCCGGGATCACCTGCCTCTTCGGAAACCTCACGGAGGTGGAAGGCAGCGTGTCGGGCAGCCGGGTTGTGTGTGTTTCGCCCGCGGCGAAGGATGTCCCGGCCATCCCCATGGAGCAAGGTGGGCCCCCGGCTTCTGCACAGCCATAGGAACCGTGGCGCGGATGGGTTGGCCAGGCAGAGCTGCCCCCACGGGGCAGGGCTGGCAAAACTCATGGTTGCCCCCAAGACCACTGAGCACAGAGCCACTCCTGGAGCCAAGGAGAGGGAGGCCAGGAGCTGCAGCCTCCGCAGCACCAGCTGCCGTGGAGGCTCCAGGAGGCACCTGCGGCTCTGGAGCAGATCCTGGCTTGGCCGTGGTGGGTGGGTTGGGAAGGGGCGGCCGCCAGGCCTGACTCTGCACCCCCCAGGAGATGGTGCCGATTCTGCTTTTTGGTCCTGTTCTTTGGGTCGTTTGTTTATTCATGTCTCTACTGTCATCATTCCTCCTCCCATAACCAAACTGCTCCTTGGTTAAAACTCTTTTCTCCTTGGCATCCTTCCAGGTGCCAGCCGTGCTTCCCTACTGACCACTCTGCATTTCTAAAACAGTATATGGAGCCTGGGAGCCGGGGAACACGGTGCCCATCAGCCCAGAGCAGCCCTGGGAGAACAGCCTGCCATTAATTCCCCAGTGCTGAGTCTCCCCTAATGCGCCCTTAATGCTCCTGTTTCCCAAATCATCTCCTGTTGTGGCTTAGGCTCTTTGGAGCAGGCTACATTAGTGTGTTTTTGTGCTGAGGAGAGAAATTTTTTAAGGAATGAGATGAGATCCCAAACTCATTTCAAAGGTGGCCTAAAGCAGTGCTTAGGCCCTGCATCTCCAGCGTATTTTGCCGTCAAGTCTGATTTGCTCGGGAGGGATGGCTGAGAGAGCCGGAGGCCCCGGGGGCTGCTCCGGCGGCTCTGCTCGGAGCGCCCGGAGCTGCCGCAGCCTCGCAGCGAGGCGGCCGCGCGGCGCCTTCGGGAGCGCTCCGCAAAACCCAAGCTGCTTCCCAGCTCCCGCCCACCACACATGGCTGGGGAAGCCGCGAGACGGTGTCCGCGCCGCCGCGCGCCCGCGCTCAGCGCCTGCCTCTCGCCCACAGACTGGTTCGGCCTCGTGCTGCAGCTCAAGTCGAGGGAGACTGGCAAGACCTTCGTGAGCACCGAGTTCAAGTTCTACAACTGCAGCGCCCACCAGCTGTGAGTACCCGTGCCCTTCTCCTCGCCACCCAGGCAGGCACTGCATTTCCCTCTCTTCCTGAGGGGAACAGGCAACTGCTTTTCCCAGGAGCCGCTGTTTTCCCAGGATACCGAGCAAATCCAAGCCCCTCCAAGCGAATCCATGCAAAGGCCAAAGCCTTTGTCATGCCTGGGGCGCACAAGGGAGGGATGTGCGGAAGGGGATCCGGAGTGGAGAAGGGAAAGGGCTGTGGCGTGGGTGCTGGCCCCTGTGCCCAACAGGAGGGTTTACCATGCACTTGGGGACAAGCTGTGGGCCAGCCATCGATGTGGAGCCTGCGGCTCCCTGCTGCCGATCCCCGTGTGTCCTCCTCGAGATCGGGAGGACGCAGCAGCGGGGCCGTCTCAGGAGGGAAGTGTCCAGCGTTGGAGCGTGAGCGGAGCGCTCGCTGGGGCTGGGGGCCGCGCAGCCCGTGCGAGCCCCGAGCCTTGCACACACATCCCCCCCGCGGGCTCCTCTCCTGCCCCCGGCCCGCGCCGCGGCTGCTGGCCTCAAAAACGTGTTTACACATTGGAGTGTTTATGGATTCCTGTCGGGAAGCGGAGCGAGCCTCGCGCTCCTAAGTGAAAGGCAGGCGGGACCTGCCAGGAGTGGGTAAGGGAGGGCAGGGCTGAGCTGCGAGCCTGGGGCAGCCGGCGCTGCGGGGCCGGCTGTCGGCTCCGCTTTGGGTGCACGATTTGCTGCTCTGGCTGCTGCCTGGGCTCATTCCCAACTTTGCCAAGCTAGATTTTAAGCATCGAACTGTGGGGCCTTCCCTCTGGTGCTTGGAGGACGGTTGTGTGTTCTGAGGAGCTTGGCTCGCAGGGAATTTTTCTAGGCATCCAGTCAAAACTTGTGGGGAGGGGAACCTAGCAGGGGTACGGGGATGAAAGGAGCGTGGGGAACCCTGCGGTCCCACACATTATCCCTCAGCAGGGAGCATATCCGTGTCAACACGTGCACTCCTTTCTGCCGTTCCACTGGGTTCCCATGGCCTTGGATTTGCTTGAGGGATGGTATTACAGGGAACCCTTGTTCTCTTGGGAGTGGAGGTTGAATCGGGAGAGGCAATGCATCTTCTCTGCCCTTTGCTTGGCTCCCTCGGGCCCAGACCCTCTCCATTGCCACTCTCAGGGTATTTAAAGCAGGGCAGGGCAGCAGCTGAGCCATCTCTGGCTGCGTGGCAGCCAAGGAAATGGTCTTGTGCCTCGCGTGAAGCGTGTGCCCTTTGGGAGCTTGCGGTAGGCTAAGAAGGGCAGAAGATGTTTGTGGTTGGCATAGACGAGAAGAGGCTGCTCTTGCAGGACAAGCCTGTTTGAAGTCCATTGCAACAAGCTAAGGAACAGATGAGGTGAAGAGATGCTCCGTTGCTGAGGAGGGACAGGATGAAGGAGCCCAGGTGGTGGCCCTGTGAGGGTCCCCAGGAGCTGGGGATCAGCTGGGGCCAAGCAGAGCTGGGAGCAGCAGCCAGAAAAGCCACGGACGGTGAGAGGTGCCCAGCCGAGCTGCTGCCCTGGACGAGCAAGGAGATCCTTCTGCCTCCTCCTGCAGGGCTAGGATGAGCAGAGAGCTCTGTCAGCTCCCGACGGGGAGGCCAAAGGCCAGGCCCGAGGCAGGTGAGCGAGGGTGACAGAAATGCCGCAACCAGAAACAGAGACAGAAATGGGTCAGATAAATGAGTAATTAAATAAGCTTGCAACACTTGATATTTCTCCCCAGATTTGCATTTGCATGATTAGAATAAGCTTCCTTGGCTATTAAGGTCACTATGAATGCATCAGAAGGAAAATACAATTGAGTTATTAAATATGCGCTCGAGTGGCAGCAGCTTGAAAGAGGAAGCACCAGGCGGTGGCACCTCTGCCCAGCTGGCCCGGAGGGCAGGGAGGCAGCACAGGGCCCCCCTGCTCTGCTCCCTGCCCCGCGACACGTGCCCGGAACGGCTGGTGCTGAGCGGGGTCCAGGCTCCGGCTGCGCCCCGCAGTCCAAGGGGGACCCCACAGCTCCCCATCCCCTTCCTCTCCGATTCTGCAAGGGGCATTTGCACCCCTGGTACCGACTGGATTATTTGAGCCCTGGTCATGTTGATTTTATGCAGATGGCTGCTTTTTTGTTGAAAGCACTGTTTTTATTCAATTGCCCCTCCTGCTGTCTTTTTTTTAGAAAGAAAAAAAAGAAGTGTTCCATGTAAAGGAGCAGATTTGTTTGTAACTCATATGTTTTGCATATCCTTCCCTTTGGGATCTAGTACAGCTTAAATAAAATGCCAAAACCATCTGAAGTGATGTTCTTGTGGGAAGGACGTGCAGCACTGACAGCCGGCACCTGGGATCGGCGCGGGGCCCGCAGAGCTCCGGCTTGTGCCGCTCTCGCTCCGTGTCCTGCTCCCGATTCCAGCTCCCGCTCCCGATTCCAGCTGTCACGTTCCCGCCGTGCCGACAGCCCCAGATGTCAGTGGGATGGGGGGGTCTCTCCTCTAGATCCTCCTCTAGCCAAAAATGGAGTCCCGATCCTGTACCATACTGTGTTCAGTTGGGCCCAGGGCAGTGATGTGTCATAAATGCAAGCTTGCATTTTAGTAGTGAATGGTCCTGCAGGTTGTTTACAGGTTGTCTCCTCCCCACAGGTGCCTGTCCTGCGTGAACAGCGCGTTCCGCTGCCACTGGTGCAAGTACCGGAACCTCTGCACCCACGATCCCACCACGTGCTCCTTCCAGGAGGGCCGCATCAACGTCTCCGAGGTACTGGCACCCTTTCAGGCACTTCTTGTGGCGCTTGTCCCATGGCACAAGTAGCCAGGGTTGCTCTGAGGGCTTTTAACTTTCCAGAGGGCACATGTGCACTCTTGGCTGGCCTCTGATAGTGCAGAAGCAGCTTTAAAGGAGCTTAGTAAGAAAGTGTCAGCCTAGCAAAAACAACACATCTCACCTTGAACACCAAACTGGGGACGCTTAAACTCAGTAATAGCTATAATTTCTGTAGTATTTTCCTTGAGGGGTGTCAAGGACTTCTCAAAGACCAGCGCATTTCCGTAACTCAGCTTTCTGCACGAGGCATGCAGGGATTTGCCCAGCAGCAAATGACCAGTGGAATGCAGAGCTCTTGGGGAGGCTCCTGCTTTCACATCCAGTGGGTTGTGTTGACAGGCCTGAAATATATGACTGCAACCGGGCTGTAAACTGATTAGGAAGGGAGTTACAAATGTGAACAGCCCCAAACTTTGAGGAAGAAAATAGCCCTGGGTTCCAAAGCTGTGGCCTGGGAGCCGTCTCTGTTAAGAGTTAATAAAAGGCATAGGGCTCCATTCCAAAAACACTTCTAAAAGTTGGGAGGAGGCACAGCCTACAAGCAACCTTGCCAGAGGACACACACGAATACTGAGCGAGCAAAGAAGGCAGGATTAGCAAGGACCAAGATGAAGCTTCCTAAGTAGACACGGAGTGAATGGATGAGAAAGGGAGGAAGGTCAGTCAGGAGAGTAAAACACTGAGCCATTAAATGGAGGCGACTCAAGCTCCCAGGCTGCCAGCTAAAGCAACATTAAACCTCAAACTTAAGCTGCACATGTGCCTTGCTGTTTAAAATGCTGTCAAGAGGCACCTGGGCACAAGGCAAGAAAAGTAACTCCACGTTACTTCAGCAAGAATCTGCAGCAGCGAAAGGGTGGAGAGTGTAACCAGGAGCAGGCAGCAGCCCCCATGAGCTGCATCAAGCTGCAGAGGTGCAGGTGCCCACAGAGATGCACCTGCCCTGGGGACAAGCCAAAAGCTTTCTTAGACCACTTCAAAACCAAGGAACTTCCTTTTAAGACAGCCTGAGAAAGTAACAACCTTTGCTTTTCCTTCTGTCAAGTGATGTGGGTTTCTTTTGCCTTCACGCTCAAAGCCTTGTCTGTCTTCCCAGGCTTTACAATTATAGTCCTCGTTTTTATAGGTCTTCAACCCTATGATATCAAAAATGATTTTTAAAGCTTGACAACTCTCCGATAAAGTAGGACAATTCCATTATCTCCATTTTTCTCTTGGGAAAGCACAGGAGATGATTACCTGAGATCACACAGAGCGAGTGGAAGGGCTGGTGTCTGTCTGCCAGCTCCTGCTGTGATCTGCAGAGCCACAGGACTCTGCTGTCCCCATGCTACTGCTGCTGCTTCATCTCGCAGGGCTTCGGGCACTTTCCTTCTTGCTTTGCTTCCTTGCTTCAGTTTGCTTCCTACCAGTGGATGTGAAGTGCTGACTAATGCCTTTCTGGTGATTGCTTTTGATAAGGGCTCGTGATAACAGTACGGATGGTTTAGTCTTCATCGTGACATCTCTGCACTTCTGAACACGCATGCGAACCCAGCCCTAATTTGTTTGCTTATTTAAAGTAAATGAATTGCCACTTGTGTACACAGAGCAGTTCTAGTGCGTTTATTATGGGTATTTCACTCCCGCTAACACATCAAATAAATGCCTCATAAAAGTTTCCTCACTTAAAACAATCCGGATCACAATGTTCTCATTGTGTCACGGTCTGATATATTGGCAAAATGTTTGTGCTTATCAACATCATTCCCTTCATAGCGGCACGTCTATTGTGTTTGGAAGGAGAGCATTAATAGCAGCACTCCAGGCAGAGTTGCCTCCGTCAAGGAGGGCTCGGGGAGCGCTGTGTGGAGCTGTGTGCTGGCCTACTTACCGTCCCATGTGTGTGCTCTCACACAGGCTTTGCACACATGTTTACATGGGCATGGAAATGTTCTTCTGACTTTATATTTACTAGAAAATATCCTGGATATTCTCTTTTGCCCTTGACTCCCCGTGACTTGGATCCCAGCTGGATCCACTGATGGTCTTGCTTTGCACGGCGTCGCTCCAACGCTGCAGCACAAGGAGCTTCGAGACCTTTGCCACCTCAAACCAGGCCTGTAATAGCATTTTAATGTGCAGGAGGGGTTGGATCTCTGCGTGTGGAAGGCTTATGGCTATAAGATGTGTCCCTGTAAATGTATAAACCATGCAGGTGAAGAGCAGTGTAGCAACACAGATCTGTTCTTACACACATCCCCACGGAGAGCTAGGAGCAAATGAATCCTATTAACTTCCAGGCTGGGATCCGTGCCCTCTTTGATGGCCGCTGTGTGCAGATAATGTTGTTTCCACATGTGAGATGCTGAACGGGGGAGCGGAGTGTTTCACATTCCTGCAGCTTAGTGCAGGGCCGGATTTCAGCTCCCTTCTGGCTCCTTGGAGCTGAGGTTTGCATTAGGACTTGGAGAGCAGTTTCTTTGCACCACGCTGGACCTGTTGATGCTCCCTGCTGCTTGATGCTCCTTGAGAGAAATAGAACAACACAGAGCTCCCTTGTATCTGTCCCTCAGTCCCCATCTCTGAATAGCTGGAGGGAGACTGTGATGTGGAAGGACAAATAGGGGTCTCATCTAAGCCCGCTGCAATCAGCAAATGACTTTCTGTGGGGTGACATGCAGCTCCTAGAGATGTATGTGTGTGAGCGAGTACCCATAGCAACAAAAAGCCCGGGTGTGCAGCAGGAATAACTCGTCTCTATTTGGAAAGCTTGATTTGAGCTTGTTGGCAACCCCTTTTTGTCAGTAGGTTTGTGGTAAATGAGAGCTGCAGTGTTTGCTCTTCGGGAGAAAGGAGAGACGTGGGAGAAGGCACCGTAAGGGGGCAGGGACAGGAGGGTGCCAGGCGGTTGAGAAAGCAGAGCCCACCTGTATTTGCAGGCTGTAAATACAGCACTTTATAAAACGCAGGCCACGCAAGGGCTGCAGCACCCAACACTGCACGGAGCGTGGGACCAGAGGTCATTTGGCAGGAATTTGCCAGTGAGCGAAGTCCAGCTTCAAGTGACTTTCTTCTTTTTATGTGTGGTTGCTAAGGGGCAAGACCTGCTCTCCTCTCCAGTAGCACAAATGAAGAGTAATGTGTCTGCATGAGTAATGGAGACTATAATTTATATCACTGGGAACAAACTGAGAGCCAAGGGTTTATGTTCAGGTGCCAAGTTCATTTATGTGTCTAACTTTAAAGTGTGTGCAGTTAGGTAATGTTTGTGGAGGTGTTTTTTAAGACAAGACAAGTACAAAAATGTTGTATTTTCTTCCATTCAAGCCAAGTTCCATCATCAAAAGCAGAGTCCCCCATTTCTAGCGGATTTTTGCAAGTAGAAAAAAAAAAGAGCAGGAAGATTTGACCTACTAAAACTGTTCTGTTAAGCACAAATAATAACCCTGGGTGTTCTGATCTGCTCCAGAGGAAGATGCAAATCTCTGGTTTTGGAGATGTTTATAGACCTTGCAATCTCTGAGGCTAAAAGGTGCTGGAGAAGCATAAGATATCTTTATAAATTATGTGTGATGATATTTCATACAAAGGCTATTCCTTACAAGTCTGTACCCCTCGTGCCTTGGAGTCTTGTCTTTCCCCAGCACATCTCCTGTGTTTATTCTGGTTTATAGAAGTCAGCAAGATAATGAGAGAACCGAGCGCCTGTTTGTTTAGCGCAAGGAGGTAATAACGGCCTTTCTAGTGCACGGCAGGATTTACTCCTCATGAATTAAAAAACAAAGCAAACTGATTAGGGAACAAATTGCGTATTCCACTGCCTGCAATTCTCTTTTTTTTCCCCTGTATGTTCTGGACATTCGGCAATTCCAGGCAGCAGCAACGGTGGAGAGGGAGCGGAGTGGGCAGAGCTGCGGGGCACCACGCAGGGCTCTGGGCATCGGCCCCAGCAAAGCTGCTGGGCCCTCCCAGGCCCTGCAGTTTCAGCAGCTTCATTCGTTTGTCAGATAAATTCAGCAGCAGCTGCAATTTCCCCCAACGTGACATTTTTTCTCCTAGTGAAACCCTGGCTCAAAGGAAAGGAAAAGCATCTGTTATATCCTGCTTGTCTCTAATGACAGTAGAACAATTGTTGCTACCTGCATCTGCAGGACCAGGGAGCAGACCTGAAAACGCAAGTCCCCTTCTAGGAAAATGCATTTCTTAACAGTCGTCTCACGGCTGGCGGTGGCCAGAAGGGATAATGGTCCAGAACGTGCTCATTTTTCTCAGGTCTGTGCACTGCAATTCTGCCATTGGTGATATGGTTGGAGATTTTTATTTTTTATCACAGGGAGATAAAAGATTTTACAATTGCTTTCCTCCCAGAGAGAGGCTTCTGAAAGCCTGGGAAGCTCTGTGGACTCGTTCCTCTCCCCTTGGTCCTCTGCACCACGTTGAAGCTAAATGCAGGAGGTTCAAATGCAGTAAGATCTTGAGCACAAGATGGCAGATGCGTGAGAACGTGCACCAAGAAGGAAGAAGTGTTTGTGCGAAGACAGCATGGGTTTGCGAAGGGAATATGCCATGAATCCTCGTGCTTTGCTGGGCTTTACTTCCCTTCCAGCAGAGCTGACTTCCTCGCTGTTGGAGCTTAAAATCACTCCTGGCTGTTAATCCGTGAAAGTCCCTGTTAGAAATAAAATAAAAAATATATAAGGAAAAGTGCCACTAAAAAGGTTTATGAGGCAGCAGTTTAAGCTACCGGCTCTTGCGGGCGCGGGGAGCATCTGGTTCTGGTTTGCGACGTGCCCGAGCGCGCGGCGAGGAGACCGCCGGGGCGGCAGACGCGGCCGTGCTCCCCGTGTCCCTGTCCCCGTGTCCCCCTCCCCGTGTCCCTGCTCAGCACCAAGGCGCGGGGCAAAGAGGGGACGCAGCCCCGGGTCCCTCTGCCAGGTTCTGCTTTAGAGCCCTTCGCTGCAGGAGCCTCCGAGGTCCCGCCACCCCTCTGCGCTCCCTGCGGGAAAGGCCAGCTTGGTGCACGAGGCGGATTTGCTCAGGAGAGTTGGGATTAGGGCGCTTAATCCTGCCCAGGAAAACCCGAGCCTTAGGCTTTGCGGATGCTTCCTGCACCCAGCTGCTCCTGTCCTTGAGTGTCCCTCTGTCCTTGGGCATCCTGCGCTTTGCCCCCGGCTGCAGCAGCCCGGGGAGGGCGGCTGGAAGGTTTTGCACGGCCAGGGCTGTGGGCTGAGCCTCTCTCTAACCTCTGCTCTCGCGTGTGTCCCCAGGACTGCCCGCAGCTCCTGCCCGCCGAGGAGATCCTCATCCCCGTGGGAGAGGTGAAGCCCATCACGCTGAAAGCGCGCAACCTGCCACAGCCGCAGTCGGGGCAGCGCGGCTACGAGTGCGTGCTCAGCATCCAGGGCGTGATCCACCGCGTGCCCGCCCTGCGCTTCAACAGCTCCAGCGTGCAGTGCCAGAACAGCTCGGTGAGGCGCCGCACCAAACACGGCGGGCAGCCGACGAGGGGGAGTGGGACAGGGCTGGGATGGGGCTGGGGCAGCATCCCAGACCTGTACCGGGAGCTGCAAGTCCCGTCGGGAAGCCCTTGCTCGCTGGCCCACCCCTGACCACCTGCAGATGCCCGCGGGCAAACAGGGCACATTGAGTTTATTTTAGGCAGCAGCGTGAAGGACTTCAGGGCCTGCTTTCATATACACTGAAGATGGTCTTAAATTGTTAATGAAGACTTGAATTTTTTAAAATTTCACCAGATATTTATACCTTGCTGACTGTCTTTGGGCCCTGCGGCCCAGTGGCTAAAAAATGCATTACTCCTCCTAGCACTTCTCCTATCCAAAGTGGTTTATAAACATGAGGAAAACCCTTTATCACTGTTGGGCAAATAGAAAATAGCGGGTAGAGAGTTTAAGGATGACTGTGTTCTCGTAGGTCTATCAGTTAAGCAGAAGAGCTAGGGCATCTCTGATTTAATTACCTTTCCTGGGGAGCAGGGAGGGGGGCAGAGCCTAAGTGCAACCTGTTGGTCGCCAGGGCCTCAGCACAGGTTTTTTAAGTGGAAAATTAGCATCATCCTGTGCAGGTGGTTCTGCTGTGTCCTCCACAGCATTTCACTCTCCCACTTCTTCTTTAGTACCTCTATGACGGGATGGACATAAGCAACCTAGCAGTGGACTTTGCCGTGGTGTGGAACGGGAACTTCGTTATCGACAACCCGGAGGATTTGAAAGGTAGCGTGTGCGCGGGCACATTGCAGGGGCTGCGCCGGGGAGTGGGCAGAGCTGTGTTAGTGCAGCCAGGGCCGCTGCAGTGATGCAGGCAGAGCTGTGTTAGTGCAGCCAGGGCCGCTGCAGTGATGCGGGCAGAGCTGCGTTAGTGCAGCTGGGGCCGCTGCAGCGCTGCAGTTATGCAGGCAGAGCTGTGTTAGTGCAGCCAGGGCCGCTGCAGCGATGCGGGCAGAGCTGTGTTAGTGCAGCCAGGGCCGCTGCAGTGATGCGGGCAGAGCTGTGTTAGTGCAGCCAGGGCCGCTGCAGTGATGCAGGCAGAGCTGCGTTAGTGCAACCGGGTCCACTGCAGTGATACGGGCAGAGCTGCATTAGTGCAGCTGGGGCCGCTGCAGCGCTGCAGTGATACGGGCAGAGCTGCATTAGTGCAGCTGGGGCCGCTGCAGCGCTGCAGTGATACGGGCAGAGCTGTGTTAGTGCAGCCAGGGCCGCTGCAGCGATGTGGACAGAGCTGCTTTAGTGCAGCCGGGGCTGCTGCAGCGCTGCAGTTATGCAGGCAGAGCTGTGTTAGTGCAGCCAGGGCCGCTGCAGTGATGTGGACAGAGCTGCATTAGTGCAGCCGGGGCTGCTGCAGCGCTGCCCCGCGCTCAGCCCGCGCCTCCCCGCTCTCCGCAGTTCACCTGTACAAGTGCGCGGCGCAGCGCGAGAGCTGCGGGCTCTGCCTCAAGGCGCAGCAGAAGTTCGCGTGCGGCTGGTGCAGCGGCGAGGCCCGCTGCACCCTGCGGCAGCACTGCAGCACCACGGCCGCCCAGCCCTGGCTCCACTGGTCCAGCAGGAACGTCAAGTGCTCCAACCCGCGCATCACCGAGGTAAGCGAGGGCGCTGCCCGCCTCCGGCCCCACTTCCCTTCACTTGGGCAAAACGGGCTCATCTCCCTTTCCATCCAGTCTGGAAACGTATCCTCCTCTGTCCTGCGCTGAGGAAGGGGGAATAAAACGCTCCAGTACTTCCTGTGAAATTAATTTGCAGATTCCTCGCCACCCGAGCAGGGTTTGCAACCCCGCCGCCTCCTCTGGCAGCTGTCACTCGCCCGGCATCGCTATCAGCACTGGGGTGACCGCTATGGACTGTTGCATGAATGCTAATTAAACTAGGGAGCTAATTAGTCTTTAGTTGATGTTTCTGATGTTTCTGCTCAGACCACTGAGGGATGCAAAATGTCTCCCAGGAGCATTTTTACCAGTAAAACTGCTCTTGCTCTGTTAATGTTGCTATTAGGAGTGACACTCATATCAGGTGGGGATGAAAGAAGGTTTGGGTTTTTCACTTAATTAACTGCCCCCGACAGCCTCCCTTGTCCTGAGCATGTGTCCGTGCTGCAGAAGGAGGAGGCGCTGCTGTAAAACAGCCTTGTAGCAAAGTGGCCCTGGCCCCAGCGCTCACGGCTGAGCAAGGGCACAGGCAAGAAGGCAGGGCTGCAGCGTGGAAGTGCCCTCTTAAAATAGTCTCTAAGCCAGCTTAGTTAAAGCAGCTCGAGCTCAGCCTGGCAGGCAGGAACTGGCCTCCTTTCTGTCAAGGAGAAGAGAAAAACGGAGAGTTTTCAAGTCCCACCTGAGGCTGCCTGTGTTCAGTTGCCTCCTGCATGGGGAACGTGCCGGGGCTCTTGCTCTGCTCCAGCCCCATCAGAGCCCAGCAGTGGTGGGTGCAGGGGAGCCCTGTGCCCACCCTGCCTGGCAGCAGAGGAGAGGGGCTTCCTCCCTCCCCAGCTCTTTCTAAGGAGGCCACTGAGCTCTCTGCTCCCGTCCCTTGCAGCAGTGCAAAGAGCCCCACATGCTCTGGGGACACACGCCTATCTTGTCAGATGCTAGAAGCAAAATAGCCTCTGCCTCGGATTTTCTTCATTGTAAACTGTTCAGACAGTTGTAACATTTAAGAAGTCTTAGATTTATTTACCCCTCCTTGAGCTAAGCAAAGAAGGGGAAAAATTACTCTGTTCCAGCCACTAAATAATTTGCATGAGAGCATTTTCAGGCTGGCTCTCGTTGCTGGCTGCAGGCATGGCGCTGCCACAGAGTATTTTATCACTGTCCAACTTGAAAGCAATATTTTTGGTCGCCGTCCAAGGAGAAAAGAGTCGTGCTTTGCTGTTGCACATTTCTTTCTCCATACGCGGGTCTGGTGTCCGCCTTGGAAGCGGAGACGTGGCCTGGCCAGGGATGCTTCCCGGCTCCAGAGATCGCCCTGTGGGCCTTTGGGGTCGCCCTGTGAGTAGGAAACATCTGTCCTGGCAGATCAGCCTCTCCACGGTGAGGGATGGCAAGAGAGAAGCTGCAGTTCAGGGGGATGTGGTGCTTTACACCCTCAGCTGGCTCAGGCAGCGCTGCGAGCTGCTGTGCCGCCCATCAGGTGGCAAAGCAGGACACGGTGACGGGGATCTCGCTCCGCCGTGCGCTGGCATCGCCCTCCTGGACCAGAGTCGTGTTGGGTCTTGTGCAGCTGCTGCTCTTCCAGTCGCCCTGGCTCACTGGCACTAAAAGCAAGAGGTTTTTCCACTCCCTTTGCTCTCCATGGCCAGTGTCCCTCTCCTGGTCCCTAGCCACAGGTCGAAGGCCCCGCTCCCGGGTCCCCGAGGCTGCATATCTGGCAAGAAGAGATCGTTTTTATTAGCTGTCAGCATAAATCAGCAGCTGCATTTGCACTGTGCTCTTGTTTGCACAGCCTGACGGTGGGGTCAAACCGTTGCTGCAAGTGTCCCTTTAACGACATAAAACTTGCGCTCGCTCTGCGGTCATGGCAATAAATAAATAAAGATCCGTTTCGTCGCGAGCAAGCGGCACTCTGATCTGCAATTCATTTATTTGCAGGCCTCATTAATATAACATCAGTGCAACAAACAGCTGGGGGGGGGCGGTGTCGGGCTGAATCAGGGGGCCGCTCTGCTGAGGTAGCGGTTCCCTCCCCACGGTGCCGTTGGATGTGGCACGGAGCGATCCCACCGGGATTGGCACGAGTGCCCCAGGGCCCTCCGCGCTTCCAGGGAAATAGGAGAGAGGAGGAGGAAGGGCTGGAGCGAGGGGAGCTGTTGGTGCAGCCGGCCGCAGAGGAAGCTGCCCCAGCAGAAATGCCCGGTGCATCCGTGTCCTGTGGTGACAGAAGGGCAGGGTGCCGGGCTGAGCAAGCTCGTCCTGTGTCACCATGTCCGTGTCACCCGTGTCTGCTTCCTCTGTTTTGATAGCGCAGTGCTTTCCTCTGAGGCTGAAAATCCCTCTGCCAAACGTCAGTGCTGCTTGCATCACCTGAGTAACTTGCATAACACGATGAGCACTTTTTGGAGCAGATAGATAGGAAGCAGATAAGTCTAAACTGGGGGGGAAATGGTTCTTCCTAATCCTGTTTGTCCCAGCACTGCCTTCTGCGCGGCTTCCCCATCTATGTGACTGGGTTGTGGACACCGGAGATGGCCCAGGGGAGGGCTGGCTCTGCGGGGAACACTGTAAATCCAGGACCTGGCGCTTCCATGTGGGAAGCACGGCAAGATCCAGGGGCCGGCGGTGCCAAGCAGAGCGGCCGGGCGCCCTTGGGCCCGCCGCGCTCGCTGCCGCTGGACATTGAAGCCTTTTCTTCTTCCCGGGATTTGGGCTGAATCTCCCCAGCTGTAATTAATTGCATGCATCTGCTCTAACCCTGGGGCTGCTTTATGGCACAGTTACTTCAAAACTGTTCAATTAGCGACCACTAAAATGTAGGTCGAGCGGAGCTCCGTGTTGGGGATTTTCCAGGTCAGGACATTTGGAAAATACCGAGTCAGCTCGGCTTGGGTGGCTGGACCGCTCGTGCCACGGTCGCACCGTGGCAAACGTCTCCTTTTCGTGCGGGGGGAAGGAAGGGCTTGGCCCTGACCTGACAAGTGCTACAGCAGAAGACCCTTGAACGGACACCAGAGCCCCCAAGGAGGGTGGTGGCCGTGTGACTCGTGCCCTACCGAGGCTGGGCAATGCCCAAGGAAGATGATGCTGTCCTTAATGCAGGATGTGGGCACAAGGTGACCATGGCAGCTCTAGAGCACCCAATTGCACTTGGAGCAATGTGGATTTGTCCCTCGGGTCCCCAGGGTGTCCGGGGACAGGAGCAGCGCGAGCCCCGCGCCGAACCCAGGGCTGCAGCCCTCCTGGGGACAACGGGGCAGGGCGAGCGGCTGCGCCTTCCCCTGCGGCCTGACCCGCGTCCCGTTGCAGATCCTGACGGTGTCGGGCCCCCCGGAAGGCGGCACCCGGGTGACCATCCGCGGCGTGAACCTGGGCCTGGACTTCTCCGAGATCGCGCACAACGTGCAGGTGGCGGGGGTGCCGTGCGCGCCCCTGCCCGAGCGCTACGTCGTCGCCGAACAGTGAGTGCTCCTGGCCCCTCGCCCGGCCCCACGAGCTGCACTGGGGCTGGGACATGCTCCGGGGATGGGGGAGCCCCCGGCCCTCCCGCGCCGGCCCCGCCATTCATTACACACCCGAGGTGCTGATAGCGCCTTCATCCACACAGGCCTCCGCTGCAGTCACCTCATTTATTTCACTAACAAAAACGTCAACTGGAAATTAGAAAGCAGGCCTTGTGTTCCAGGCGCTCCGTGGTCGTGGGGCAAAGTGCAGAGCACTGTGGCTGTTGTCACTGCAGTGGCTCCCAGCAGCGCGCTGGGAGCACTGGGAGCAATAGAGGCTTGGGCCATTCGGCAGAGCAGTGTTTTGTTTTGGTTTATTTTTCAAATAAAGGACGGAAGATTATAAAATTATCTTCCTTTGATGGTAGGAAGGCCTGATTTTTATAAGCACGACTCTAATTACTGTTCTTGAGCTTTCAAAGTTTGTTAACATCATTAAAACATTTACCCTGGGCAGATAACAGCAAGCTTAGCGTGAGAGCTGCCTTTTAAAGAAGGAGGCAGATGAAAGGAGCCTCTTCAGGGCTGTGTGGGCAGGCTGCGTTCCTGGGCTGCAACCACTCGCCATATGCTGCAGCCTCCAATCTAGCAGCCAGCAATTAGGGTAATGTTGGTGAAAGGGCCACTTAGCCCAGCAATCAGCACCCCGCAGCTCTGCCGCGTGCGGCGCTTCGTGACAAGGTACCTGCTGGGGGGTTGGCTCTTGGTAGGAGCGGGGACCAGGTGTGTGACAGGGTCCCTGGTGCCATTGCCCTGTCACCTGGTGCTGCACGAGACCCGGGTGCTGCTTGGGTGGCACCGCGGGGAGCCGAGTGTCCCGGTGCCGCTGCCACCTCCCTGGGGCAGCCGGGAGGGAGAGAAGCAGGGCCCAAGGGACGTCCCCGGCAGCGTGTCCCATGGCAAGGCCCCGTGCTCCCAGCCCTCTCCGTCACCCCTCTCTGGTTTGATTAACTGGGAGATGGCAGGGTGAGCTGTTCACTTAATGAACTCATCTGTTACTCTGAGGGCTTCACACTCGCTTTGCTACTGGTTAATATATTGCCATTAGTGCTCTGCTTTGCTCTGGAGTTTACAGCTTGTAATAATTATGTCTAATTTTGATTTTTATTTCCCTTACATCACTAGAGAGGGTAAAAATAGACTCAGTAATTAACTTCTTCCAGCGGGGAGGGAGGCAAGTATGCAGGCTGGAGCAGCAGCAGCAGCGGAGCCTCACGCCATGCCTCTCCTTGCAGGATCGTGTGCGAGATGGGGCAGGCGCTGCCGGGCGTCAGCTCCGGCCCCGCGCTCCTCTGCATCGGTGAGTGCAAGCCCGAGTTCACGGCCAGGTCCGCGCAGCACTACGTGTTTGTGGTGAGTCCCCTCGCCCCAGCGAGGGACCCTGACGTTTTTGTTTTAATTTTTTTCCCCGCCCGAGGATGCCAATTCACTGTAGGCTTTATCTGTCTGCTTAATGAAGGGTTGGTGGATTTCCATCGCTCGAGTGATTGTCACTTCCTTCTGTTATTTAATTAGCAGCCTTTTGATTCATAAACTTAAAAGCCACAGCTGGAGCTTTTCGTATCTCCGGTTTTACCTAAACAGGGCACTTCATCCAGGCACATTGATTTTGTGCTTAGCGGAATCTGTGTATGCAGGGAAATGCCAGCACTTACCAATTGTTGGCAATTTGTAAACTAATTGAGAGATAAATCAGGCTGGCCCTGCTGTCCTCGCCGCACGCTGAGCACTGCCCTCCCCTGGGATTCCAGCTTTCCAGCAGCACCGCAGCGGTGCAGGACAACAGGGTGCCCAGAGGCTGGTGGCAGAGTCCGAGCTGGGCACAGTGGCTGTGGGGACACTCCTGTGCTCTCCGTGCAGCTCCTGTTGAAGGAACCCTCAAATCACCCTCACCAGGCGGGTGATTTGCTGGGCACGTGGTGAGCGCTGCTGAGGCACGACCAGGCCTTGCAGGGCCCTGCAGGGATGGGGAGAAGGACGAGGGGCACCAGGGCTGGCTGGGCTGGAGCCTTCCGCCCCATTGCCAAGTTCCCATGGCCACACGGACCAAATTCTGGCGAACTGCTCTGCTACTCTGAAAATCCTATTCTCCAGATTTGCTCCTATTTCTAGATTGTTATGCTGCACAAAAGAGGAAACTCCCATGGTTTATGTCCCCTGGGTCCCAGGCAGGACCCCGTGGAAGGTAATTGTGGAGATTCCTTTTGGAGTAGCACCTTGCAGCAACCCTCTGCACGTATGCTGAGCGTTGCCATTTCCTGCAACGTCGCTCCTTGTTTTCAGCACTTACCCTTATTATCATTTCTTTTTCCCAGGCATCTGAAACTTCTCGTACATCATTTCCCATTTCCCTTTTTTATTTGGCCTCTCTTTTTCTCTTTGGCGCCGCTACAAATTCCATTATAGCTGTTTTTTGCCATTAAAGTCAGCAGTAAAATTGATTGGTGCCTTAAAGCGGAGCTGGGCTGTGACCCTGGGAGGGTTCATGCCTTGGTGAGCTCATCTGCTGCCTGACACCGCACAGGATCTATGCTGCCACCTTAATTATACCCGCTCTATCCGGGGAGGTGGAACCTTGGAGCTACTTCAGGTCTGTAAATCTGTCATAATTATCACCAAATGATGAGCTGAAGATGGAAAAATCTTATTTAGCAGTCGTATCCTCACGCAGCACAAGCCACGTCCCAGCCAGGGAGGGCTGCAGGTCCTAGCAAGGCCCCCCAGCCCTCCCGCCTTGCCCTCGTTGGCAGGCAGGGCTGCCTGCAGCCCGGGGCTGTGGCTGTGGCAATGCCGTGGCTTTCCCAGAGCTGTGGTGCTCGGACAAGGTGCGTCGCCAGGAGCTTCGTTCCCCGTGCTGAGGTTCCTCTCTTCTCTCCCAAGAATCCAGCCATCAGCTTCCTGCATCCCAGCCGCGGCCCCGAGTCGGGAGGCACCAAGGTGACCATCACGGGCCACTACCTGGGCGCAGGCAGCAGCGTCTCCGTGTCCCTGGGGAACCAGACCTGCGAGTTCCACGGGTAAGAGCGGCCGCGTGGCCAGTGCCAGGGGCACATCCCTGCGCTTGGAATGGGGGGCTGGCTCTGCCGAAGCGCGGGCACCGCATGAACACGTCTCCCCTGCTCCCATAAAGCTGCAGCCACCGAGTCTTTGCTGTGGCTGAACATTCAGCCCCAGCAAAAGCTCATTTAGGAACCCCTGACAGCTCCCGTTTTGACATTTTTTTGCTTTAAGTCGTCTCCTCTCTTGCGGTGATTGAACCTTGCCTGACAAGGAGTTGATTGCATCTCTATTAATGCTGTCCTTTATTTCATTTTAATGCACTATAATTTTGACTGTTCCAAAAATCTCAGGCAAGCACTGCTGCAATTGTAAAATCCTTATGCTAGTCATCGTGCCTGCCCTCGAGAGCAGATGTGATCTGAAGAAAATGTCACATTTACAGGAGAAATCCAGCGATTTGTGGCTGCGAGGAGCTGCTCTCCTTGCAGGACAGCAACTGACCTTACGTCTCGTGCAGGGGGTGCAGGGGTCTCACAAAACGATGTGAGCACAGACTGAGCAGAGCATGGATCCCACTCCTGGCACTGCCAGGGCAAATGTGCTTTTAATGCAGCAGTGTGAGCACAGAGTTGATATTTGCAGGGTTTAACCAACTGGGGGGCTTAGAAGAAAATCTCTGCAGTGTGCATGGGTGTGTGTTGCACACGCGTGCTGTATGTGCTGCTGTAGCAGTCCATAGGTGCCCCTGCTGCGCTGGGGGTCATAGGCTCCACACTGCAGCACGTGCCTTGGCATGAACCATGTTTTTACATCAAGTAAGCTAGGCCAGTGGGCTCAGGACCTGACCTTCATAGCCCTTGCTATGGACCAGATAAAACCTGAGCGTGATACAGAGGCTGGTGAAAATACTGAATATCAGTAATTACTTCTCCCATCAGCTTCAGAACAACTAAAACGGCTAAAACTTGATTCCCTTTTTATGGTGTAGCTGGGAAGGGGTGGATTATGAAGAGCCTTTAATAAAGAGGAAGGATTTAATGGACTTCCTCAGCTCTCCTGCTGTATCTCTAGTGTCTGGCTTTGGAGCTGACAGAGCAGGAGGTGGAGAACATTTGATATGGTGATTACTCCTGTTGCTCCTTTTATATGCCCTTGTCTGTGGCTGATGTCCTCTCCGGAGTCCTCTGCACTCAGGAGTCCTTGAAAGTCCCCGGGAGCTGCAGAAGGCCAAGGCAGCTGGTGGCCCCATGTGGGGGCTGAGGCAGCCGTGCTCCGCTGTAGACCTGGGCCTGGATAACGTGGATGGGAGGGATTTGCAGCTGGGAGCTTGGACAGGCACCGAGCATCGCGCTACTCCCGGGTCCCAGCCTGCCTTTGGAGATACTGGGCACTGTGCTCACCTCTCCCATATCCCATTTTCCCCGTCTCGGGATGAGGAGGATGATTCAGACTTGCCTGCAGTGCTGCAGGAGGTACCGAGGTCGTCCCAGGCGAGTGAGCTCCCGGTGCCAAGTGTTATAACTGATTTGTTGATATTTCCACCGTATCCGAAGCACAGATGCCAGGTTGTGAGCTCGGATGTGCGCAGGTAACTGCTGCCATCAATGGAAACGACTTGCAAGCCTGCCCGGGGGCAGAATCACTCCTCTAATGTAATCCTTAAATATACGATTATATCCAGCAACCTGGAGATAGTGACCTGCGAAGTGGAGAACGCTTTTGAGTCCTTCCCATGTCCTAATTACGCCAGGCAAGCGGCAGCTTAAACAAAACAAGTGGCAGGGTGGAAGCGGGCACCCCGCTGCGCACGGCGCTGTGCCCGGGCCGTGCGCGGACAGCCAGCCCCGCTGCTTCTGCAGGGTGAGGGGGAGCCTCATTACATGAGGCGGCTCCTAATGAGATGCGCTGTAATTACCGCTTCCCCTGCGTGCCGTCTCCGATCGGGAGGAGTGTCTCCGATCGGGAGGAGTGGGCAGATTCACCATGACGACACAATAATAGCGCGGAGAGCTAATTAACTGATCACAGGGAGCCCGGCAGCTCTGCCAGCAGGCCAGCACCGTGGAGCCGCTCACGTGCTGGAGAGCAGGGCCAGCGATGCCCGGGGAGGCTGGGGCTGCTCCGGGAGGCCAGCGATAACCCAGGAAGCTGGCGATGCCCCAGGAGGCCAGGGATGCTCCAGGAGGCCCATGATGCTCCCAAGATGCCGACGATGCTCTGGGATCTGCCACGGGCGGACAGGGAGCTCCGGCAGCTGCTGAGGAGGGCAGGGAGGAAGGGAACTCTGGATGTGCCTGGATATCAGTGCTGGGTGTGGGTACCAGAACAGCAGGGCGGTGTTGGGGACCTGCCTGTTGTCTCCCCTGCGTTCACAGAAGAGAAGCCAGGAAAGGAATAAGCCATGGAAGGCAAAGGACCTTTCCCCCAGCAGGGCTGCAGGTTTGGGCAAGAGCTTGGCTTTGGAGGGAGCTTCTGCCTCCTGCTTTGAAAGCAGCCGGCCGCTCTCGCCCTCCTGGCAGAAGGCAGCAGGGATGCAGGAGGCTGCAGTTCGGCCAGGGAGCCATTGCTGGGAGCCTGAGCTGCTCTGGATAGGCAGGAGAAGCCTGTGTGAGCGAAGCCCCCATCTCCGGGGTTTGGGATGTGAGTAACCGAGGACATGGTCCAGCTCAGCCTGGGTGCTGGCCACCTTCTGCCCCGCGGCTGCTGCTCCTGCTGATCCCTGTCCTGCCCCTCTCTTCCGCAGGAGATCCATGAGCGAGATCGTGTGCGTGGCGGCCCCGTCCGCGCACGGCCTGGGCTCCGTCCACGTCTCCGTGAGTGTCGACCGGGCCCAGCTCGAGAGGACCCTGCTCTTCGAGTACATCGACGATCCCAAAGTGCAGCACATCGAGCCCGAGTGGAGCATTGCCAGGTAAGGCCAAGCTCTAACGCAGCTCCTCCTCCAGCACCACCTCTGCCGCGGTCCCATCCCTCGGGATGGCTTCCGTGAGGACAGGAGAGGGTCTGTCCTGAAACGCGCAACCCACCCGGGGTCCAGGGTTTGTCTTTTTTGGGCGTCTGCTGCATGTGCGTTTACAGAGATGGAAAATCAGGTCCAGAGTTATTAAAGTAGTTGTAATTACCAAGGCAATTAGAGCAGTAGCAGTCTGCACTGAGGTTTTGGGAGCGCCAATAAAGCCCCACGATGGCTTCCATCTGCTGACGAAGTGCACAATTGCTCATTAAAGGCTCCTTCTCATAGTTCTGGAATAAAACAAAAACAGAAACCACCAGGAGAGGAAAAAGCTGATGCTAATCGAAATGGGCTGTTTATCCAAGATTCACTGCTAAGGACAGGGTGGCAGACACTGTCACAGTGCTGTGACAGAGGCAGCGCTAAAAACTCTGGGCTGGATTCATCCCTAGTATTACTTCAGTGGTTGTGCTTGCAAGGGATGTAATGCAGCTATTCACTTCACTTCCAATTATTTTTTAAAATCAACCATGAAAGAAGTATGTGACTCTCTGCAGGCTCAAAGACATTTCTGCTTTGAGCCCAAATTCAAACTCACTTTGTGTTTTGGGCAGGATGGGTTTGATGGGCTTGTCAGAGCTGCTCGCAGCAGTGATCTGAAGGCAGCAGCTGGGCTGAGGCGCGCAGGGGCTGGAGGCTTTGGGGGGAAGTGTCTTTGTGCGATCAGCATCATCCATCCGTGCTGCTCTGCGCCTCGCTCCTGCTGCCCGCGCGCTAACCCGGCGTCTCCCGCTTCCCCGCAGCGGCCACACGCCCCTGACCGTCACCGGCTCCAACCTGGACGTCATCCAGGAGCCCAGGATTCGCGTCAAGTACAACGGAAAAGAGTCTGTTAATGTAAGTGGCTGCTGTCACCGCCGGTGACAGCAGGTGCCCTGCACCTAGGCAGAGCCTCCACCTTTACTGGTGCCTCCCCACCACCATGTGTCACAACAGCTTCTAGAGATGCTGAGACCTGCGGTGACAAGTGCTGCAGCAAACATGTCACATCGAGACGTAGCCCGCCCCAGCAATGCAACCCACGGGCCTCCCGCAGGCTGGGGACAAACCTGCGTGTCCCCTGCTCTCCTGTGCCCAAGGGCCTCTCCCCAGGTGCAGGTTACCTTGAATGCACCTTTTTGGGGTTTTCTGAGGAACCTCTCCCAGCTAGTCCTTGCTCCGCTCGGGATGACACTGTGCTGATGTAGTGCCAGATGATGAGAACTACTCTGCTAATTGCTTGCTAAATCTAATTTTCATTAAACTTGCTACTTTTTGAATTGTCAGAGTATTTAAACAAGAGCATCTCAGGCTCATAAAAGTCCTCTGGGTATTTAAGCTGCTGTCATTTATAATTGTCCCTGCAGTTTTGTTCTTTTGGTTTGTTTAACCAGATTGCTGTGAAGCGCTCTGGTTGCAGCGGGGTGGGATATGCCTGCACGTCCTAGCATCAAATTCACTTACGCAGGGCAGACAGATGCTGCAGCACGTGCCAGTGCTGCCAACGAGCTTGTCTGCCGGCTTGCCCTGGTGCAGAGGCCACATAGGGAACGTTGTTTCCCTGCTCCTGCACAGGAGCAGGCACATGTGGCCCAAGGGCCTCTGGTCCTGTCTGACCTGGACCTACCTCAAGTCAAGCAAATTTGTCCTGTTCTTTCAATTACCCCCATGGCAGAACCCTGAGGAGCAGCTGAGCGCTTCAGCTCCCCAGGACAACCCTCTTCCCGGCTCCGTGCTCCGCTCGGCCAGCTGCAGTGGGGTTGAAGGAGCGAATGTAGCTGCCTCCATCACTCCGAGCCTCCCCGCGCTTCCCATTTGAATCCTGCTGTTTTTAAAAGCCTGGAGTTGGGCACTGGAGACTCAGCCGGTCAGGAGGCCGCTGTGTTTTGCTAGTCCCTCTTTAGCTGCCTGTCTATAAATAACCGTCTGGCGGCAGCGCTGGGACCGCGCGCGTGGCAGCCTGCGCAGGGAGGGAGGAGGCGTTGGAGGCTGCAGCCACACGAGCTGCTGCTGCCGCCCCAAATGAGGAATCGGTAACGAATTTGGGGGTTGATCGGAGGCCCGTTGCAATGCCAGCTCCTTCCTTTCTCTGTGAAACCATCGCATTTGTTCAGTCCAAGAGCAGGAACCTGAGATGCATTAAATGCATTCTCACCAAAGCAGGTGCTAACTGATATTCTTGCATGTTACAAACCAGAATTCTGCCTCTGCTTTGCTTGGAGTTTATTCTGACCAGATAAACTGAAAAATGCTGTTTATATGCAGTGAACTTACTGACTAAGTCTATATTATCTTGGAAAGTGCAAATCACTTAGCAGCCTTTTTCCTGCTCCTTTTTTCTCCCACCTCTGAAACTCATTTTCATCTGAGCTTTTTGTAAAAAGACATCCAGTTTTGATGTAGCAGTTGCAGCTTGCAGTGTTACAAAAATAATTCCTGAGACACAAAATTGAGTGAAATTACATCTTCCACTTATGGAGGGAGGCCAAACGCTTGGTCTCTTGCTGCATTATAAGGCAAGAGTCTAATAAATCAGCAAGCTCCCTGCTTCCAGGGGCTATAGGAGCTGTGGATATCCTCAGCCCAGCAGGAGATGACCTTCGTGTTACCTCCCGTCCTTGATTGTTAGATGATCGTTCCTCTTTCTCAGTGGTATTAAAGGATTGCCTCTAATCACCAATTTGTAGCAGAGGCCAGATATTCATTATAGGTCTGTTTCAAAGCTGGTGTTGCCCAAGAGAATGCAACTGGAAAGAAAAATAAGAAAAAAAAGACTAAGTGACCTAGTCTGCAATCCTTTAGCTTCTTTAAAACACTTTTCATTTTGAAGCTCTCCCTCCATCTCTTCTGTGGTGCTTTTGTGCTGGAGAGGAAGCAGATGTTCCCCAACTCTGACAGTAATGGCTCAAGCTTAGATTAATTATTTCCAGATAAACACCAATCCCCTGGACTCTTCAGGGAGCATTAAGGAATCAGAACATCGTTGTCCAAGCCAGAATTGAACAGCACGTTGGAATAAGGTTTTCTCTGCCTTTTCTCTGTGATTTCTAAAATCTGTCCTCGAGATGCAAAGCAAGGGGCAGGGTCGGGACGTCCGTTCTCTGTTCCTGGTCTGCTCCACAGCTCAGCTCATGCAGGATTTAAACCAGAGCTGAGCAGGGGGAGATGCTCTGTGTGTGCCGGGCTGCTGGGGCACCGCTGAGCCCTGGTGTCCGAGATCACAGGGGCGATGCTGGGGCAGAGCAGCGGCTCCTCTCACGCCGTGTCCTCCCGCAGGTCTGCAAGGTGGTGAACGCCACCACGCTCACGTGCCTGGCTCCCGCCCTCACCCCCGAGTACCGGCCTGGCCTCGATGCCGTCGAGCGCCCGGACGAGTTCGGCTTCATCTTCAACAACGTGCAGGCTCTGCTGGTTTACAACGACACCAAGTTCATATACTACCCAAACCCGACGTTTGAGCTCCTGAGCCCCACTGGCATCCTGGAGCAGAAACCCGGCTCGCCCATCATCCTCAAGGTGAGGCTGCCTCGCGCTGGCACGAGCCACGGCCACGTAGCGCATGAGCTGTGGCATTGAGCTGGTTTGAGCTCAGCAGAACAAGAAAGGCTTTGCTGCCTCGTAGCTGGATAGCTGCGTATCCCTACAGCTCTACCAGCATAGCTGGGTAAGGTAAAAGTCATGGCCAGTTCTCTGTAGCTATCTGTTGGACCTAGAGTTAGTCAGCAAAGCTTTTAAAGCCCCTTTTGCAATGGCCAGGCCAAAATCATAGATTCTGGGAGGGACCAGATAGGCTTTGGGAGACGCAGAAAGCAGCATTTGATAGAGGAGCTCTGTATGGCCCCTTGGAGGGTGCCAGGACCCTCCGTGTGCCTATGCTGCTGGTGAGTGAAAAGAGGGGAAATGGGCTGCATCTCTGTACAGTCTTCTCTGCCTCTGTTACTAGGGTAAAAACCTGTGCCCGCCGGCTCCAGGAGGAGCGAAGCTGAACTACACCGTGCTCATCGGCGAGACACCCTGCGCCGTCACCGTGTCGGAGACACAGCTGCTGTGCGAGCCCCCCAACCTCAGCGGGCAGCACAAAGTGATGGTGAGAGACCCCCGCTCCTGCCTCTCTCCTCTCCGGCCCTCCCTCCTCCTCCTTCCTCTCTCCAAATCCCTGGGATATTTGAGCGCCATTTCTTATCCGAGGATCAGTAGGATTTCAGGTCCTTATGGTTGTCTAACTGGAAGCTTAAAGCATTGATTAGCAGGAGGAAAAATCATATTACCTCCTTGGAGACGTGCCACCTACTAGCAGACCCTTCCAGAAGGGAAAAATATTTATGACAGTGACTTCACCAGGCTCCGTCTCTGCTTTGGCATTGCTCCTTCTTTCCCTGCTGATGGGTGAGACACTTTGCAGTATGCTGCGTTCTCCCTGCTGCACAAGGGAAGGGATTTTGGCAATCCTTGTAGCCGGGCACAATTTGCCAAGGAGCTAGAAAGAAGGTTTTGCCTTTTTTTCTGAAGCAAAAATAGCCAGGGACACCTGCCCCCTGGTTTGGCTGGACCAGTGGCCTCATTGAGGTCCCTTTGCTTCAGCATGACACTCTGTGCTTTCTTTCTCTTTGAGCTCAGCATCCAAAACATACTCGAATGATCACAGTGTGATTCCCCTAAGAGCAGCGTGGCTGAGAGCTGCTGCCAGGGCCCTGGGGAACCTCCGGCCGGTCTGTTCCGCAGCCTGGGAGCCTCCCCTTCCCCTCGCCTCCCGCGCTGTGAAGAGGCTGTTTCCTGTCACTGGAGTTGGCAGCGGGTTGCTAATGTCCGCAGTTTACAAAAGGGAGTTGAAAGCTTATAAAATGAAAGTCAAATGGAGCCATCAGATAATAAGAACAAAGGCGCGATAGTGAAGGGCTGACACATTTATCATGGCTGGAAGCTGCTCTGCGCTCGCGTAAGCGGCGCCCGGTGGCTTTTGCAGACGGGCAGCGCCGCGGCTGATGTCTGCAGGTCCTCCCGAGGTGGCCGCCTGGCCAGACCGTGCTCGTCCTCGGCTCCCTGCAGGGGACGGGCACGGGCAGGAGCTGCTGCTCATGCAGCCCTTGCCCACCAGGTGCGCGTCGGCGGCGTCCTCTTCTCCCCCGGCGCGGTGAGCATCGTCTCGGACAGCCTGCTGACCCTGCCGGCCATCGTGAGCATCGCTGCCGGCGGCAGCCTGCTCCTCATCATCGTCATCATCGTGCTCATCGCCTACAAGCGCAAGTCCCGCGAGAACGACCTCACCCTCAAGAGGCTCCAGATGCAGATGGACAACCTGGAGTCGCGGGTGGCCCTGGAGTGCAAGGAGGGTGAGTGGGGGCTGCTGCTGCTGCACGTTTGGGGCCCCGTTTCAGACCCCAAACTATGGAGGTTTCGGGCATCCCAGGGAATGTGTTTTATCCGCTTGGAAGGGAGCCCAGCGAAGCAAAGCAAAGTAAATAGACTGGAGGACTGGGCGGCGAGAAACCTCATGAGGTTCAACAAGGGCAAGTGCAAGGTCCTGCACTTGGGGAGGAATAACCCTGGACACCAGTACAGATTAGGGGTGGACCTGCTGGAGAGCAGCCCCGCAGAGAGGGACCTGGGTGTCATGGTGGACGACAAGTTGACCATGAGGCAGCAGTGTGCCCTGGTGGCCAAGAAGGCCAACGGGATCCTGGGGTGCATTAAGAAAAGCGTCTCCAGCAGGTCGAGGGAAGTGATCATCCCCCTCTACTCAGCCCTGGTGAGGCCACATCTGGAGTACTGCGTCCAGTTCTGGGCTCCCCAGTACAAGAGGGATGTGGAGCTGCTGGAGAGAGTCCAGCGCAGGGCTACGAGGATGATCAGGGGCCTGGAACATCTGCCCTATGAGCAGAGGCTGAGAGAGCTGGGTCTGTTCAGCCTGGAGAAGAGGAGGCTGAGGGGGGACCTGATCAGCGTGTATAAATACCTCAAGGGAGGCAGTGAGGAGGAGGGGGGCGGCCTCTTTTCAGTGGTGAGCAGGGATAGGACTAGAGGAAATGGCTTCAAACTGAAGCATCGGAAGTTCCACAGGAACTTAAGGAAGCATTTCTTCACTGTGAGGGTGACAAAGCACTGGAACAGGCTGCCCAGAGAGGTTGTGGAGTCTCCTTCTTTGGAGATCTTTAAAACCCGCTTGGATTCAGCCCTGTGCCACGTGCTCTAGGTGACCCTGCGTGAGCAGGGGGGTTGGACTCGATGACCTCTGAGGTCCCTTCCAACCTTCGGCATTCTATGATTCTATGATTCTATGATTCTATGAAATAGAAACTGCAAATTTCACATTGTGACCTTGGTGCGTGCGGGTAGCTGTACTCAATTTGTTCGGCTGGTTTTGAAAAGATAGCCTTGGAAATGTAGGGCAAGAAGGGAGACCTGTTTTCAGGAGAGACCCCGACTTCTGTACGGGCACAACCTGCCTGGGGACACAGCAACCTTGCTGAAGCCAGCAGTGTTTTAGGATTCGGATAAGGAACACAAGCACGCACCACTACAACTGTAATATCCCTGTTCATGGTATGTTATAAAAGGAAGAATAAACCTCCTGACCCTGGCAGCAAGCGATTTCTGCACAGAAGCATCAGATTTTCTTATTTTGGCTACTGTAGATAGAGAAGAAAAAGAAAAGAAAATATGAGAGGCACCAAGATAGGAAAATACATCCTCATTTCTATCGACTGCCTTTAAAGGTGCTCTAGGTGTGTATACCTAGGTGTGAACTGCATACAAATTAATAAGCATCTTTTGTTCTCTGCATCTGTTGTTCGCAGCGCCTGCTCGCTGCTCGCAGCTGCTACAACAGGGTCTGCAAGCGGGAGGGTCCAGCTAAGCTCCAGGCAAGGTCTGCACGGAAGCACTTTGCTGAGCTGCTCCGTTGATGCTCCCGCTGATGTGCCCCGAGGAGAGCAGGCGGCCGGAGAGCCCCCCACGCTGCCCCTTGATCACATTTGATTGCTTTCTTGTTCTTTTCTTCCCGAACAGCCTTTGCAGAGCTGCAGACAGACATCAATGAATTAACCAGCGACCTGGATCGCTCGGGAATCCCGTATCTTGACTATCGGACGTACGCGATGAGGGTGCTCTTCCCAGGCATCGAGGACCATCCTGTGCTGCGGGAGCTGGAGGTAAAGAGCAGGGCTCTTGCTGGTCCCTCTGGGAAACCTGCACGAAACCTGCTCAGCAGGGAAGCACCTTGTGCCCGGAATTTTATTAGAGGCCCTGGGAACTAGTAGAAAAATGAACCCGGAGCTCATGGGTACAAGGAGCTGGGCGCTTTATCATCTAAGCACACTGCTTGCTTCCTCTTGGTTTCTTCCACGCTGCTGCTGGTTTAGTTTTATTTTATTGGTTTTTATATTGCTATAGACCAGCGGTGAGGCACACCGCATAAGTTATCCGTGTCCTTTTAAAATCCTCCTTAATCACTTGCGGATGGAGGGAAAAGCTGTGTGCCTGGGAGCATCCTCCTGCTGCTATTTCATGGCGTGTCCACAGGAGGGCAAGCGCTTTGCCTCGGCAGGGCCTGCTGCTGGCCTTGCTGTAAGCAAGCGTTTTAATTGCCCTCTTGGTTTTCTCTTCAGTATGTGCATAAAAATCCCTGGGCTTCACCCAGCTGCAGCTTCATTTAGGCGGTGAATTAAGAGAGTCCCTATAAATTAGTTCCATCAAGGTTCTTCTGTACACAGAAGTCTTCCCTGAAGGACCCTGAAGTGGTCAGTGGTTAATGCAGGTGCTCCGTAGCATTAATGCATTGAAGTGGATCCCATTCCAAGAGGTCACCAGCCCAGAACCACCACTGTGGTGCTGCAGAAACTCGTCGGCTGCCCCTGAACCTGCCCCTCTCCCCCAGCCCACCTTGTGTTCCCAGCTTACATTGCCAAATAAGCTGATCCTCTAACAAACAAATATAAATGCTTTTCTTTTATTTGTTTTACTCATGAAAAACAGAATTGCAGAAGTGATAAATGTGTTGCCAATTACACAGTTGCTTAATTATGTAACGCTAGTAAAGCCAATACGTAAGTCTCCAAGATGTTTGTTAAAGAGTTGTTTAATGTAGTTCATCATTTTCGCTCATAATGAATTACTTGAATCCAGAACTGGCTGAAAGCCTCAATTAATTTTTTACACTTGTCTCATAATAAAGCAATAGTCTAAATTAGTATTTAATTTACTTATAGGAGTGTCACTTTTTATGCAGAACAAGCAAAATTGTATGTCATTTATGAGGCCGTTAGCCTCAAAGCAGCAGCTTTATGGCATGCAGAGGGTGCAATTCGGAGCAATGATTAAGGCACCAAGCGCTGGAAATGCTTTGAATACGAAAATCTGGTGTTTGCTGGGTCCCGAAACACAGGGTCTGCTCTCGCCCGCCGCAGGTCCAAGGCAACGGGCAGCAGCACGTGGAGAAGGCCTTGAAGCTCTTTGCGCAGCTCATCAACAACAAGGTGTTCCTGCTGACGTTCATCCGCACGCTGGAGCTGCAGCGCAGCTTCTCCATGCGCGACCGCGGCAACGTGGCCTCCCTCATCATGACAGGCCTCCAGGGCAGGCTCGAGTACGCCACCGACGTGCTCAAGCAGCTGCTCTCCGACCTCATCGAGAAGAACCTGGAAAACAAGAACCACCCCAAGCTGCTGCTGCGCAGGTAGAGCGCGCGTGCGGGATGGGCGAGGAGGTGCTCGAGGTTGAGGAGATGTCACCACCCCGGTCGCTGTGGACCTTCCCCCTGTGCCTCTGAGCCCTCTTGCAGGCAAATAGGGGTTTCCTCCTCCCAGCATGTGTCTGGGTGGGGAAGTCACCTTGGTGCTTCAGCGATGGGGAAGAGAGACAGGGAAGGGACTAAGGCACCAACACAAGGCCGTGCAGGGAAACATGGAGAAAAAAAAGGCAGGGAAACAGATTGATGACTCTAGAGCATCCATGAGCCCGACTCAAGCCCTAGTGCGGGTGGCAACTGGGGACCAGTGCTGAGGACATCCCATGGGCTGGGTGCTGCAGCCAGAGTGGGTGGCCGTGGGCAAAGGGAGAGTTCTGCAGCTCCGTGAGCGTTTCAGGGATTCCCGCAGCCGCGACAAGGATCCGCGGCAGGAAATTGCCCTAATGCCGGCCGTGTTTGCGGAGGCGATAACTCATCTCCGGGAAGGAAGCCGCCTTAATTTCCCCCGTGGTTTGACGTGTTGCTGGGAAGGCCTCAGCCGCCCAGAATGACTTTTCACGGCGCTTTAAAAATACCAGTTTTTTGTTGGGCCATGCACCTATCCGTGCCCATCCACAGCGCTGGAAGTGGAGCTCAGGGCTGCTCCTTGCCCATGTGTGCAGGGTTCTCCTCATTCCACCAGGCAGGAGACAGGAGGGATTTGCAAGACAGGAGGCAAGGGAAGTGGAAAACACATATTTATTTGAGTGTCCTTAACTCTTCTTGGGTAGTTTCTGCTTTACTCCCATGCTCAATAAGGTGCCACCTTGGCGAGCCCCTGCCGCAGCGTGCCCTGCCCTTGCTCATGCTCAATGCAGAAGGGTTTTCCACGAACCCCGGGGTTGTCCCCGCGGCGCCAACCCCCAGGAGCCTTCTGCAGGTTTCCAGAGGCAGATCTGCAGCAGCGGCCGCCGGTTGTTCCCAGTTATTTCCATAGTGCAAGAGCAGGCAGCTGGCAGGTCTAGTGCTGCTAATGGGAACTGGACACAGTATTAGTTCATTAGCAGTGTTAATTAGGAAGTTTGCCGTTCTTAATTTAATACTCTAGTCACAAAGCAGAGTGTTAAATTAATGCTCACCCTGAAGCCTGGAGCGCGTCATTTTCACAGGACGAGCTTTTCTGCTGCTCTTGGATCTGCGCAACCAGCTGCTGTGACTGGCTCTAAGGCTCCTGCTGCTTCCCCTTTACTGGGGGACCAAAATGTTGTAAACGGGGCACCAGTAAGTGTGTCATTCTGCACACAGGGTGAATTTTCAGGCAGCTAATCAATTCAGGCTTAAATTCCTTGTGGATCTGCAGGCGTCTGCACAAATTCCCAGCAGACGCTGCATCCGTAGAGCCGCCGGCAGCGTGAGCCCGGCTCTCCTTGCAGGCTGGGATCAGGTCTGGCTTGCTGAAATCCTCAGCTCCTGTTCCCAGCTGATCACGTCAGCGTTAGGATGAAGCCCTGTTGCTTCCTTAGCATGTGTTTATCCTTAAACGCTCTGTGAAGAGGCTGTCCCTAATTCGGGGCAGATGAGGGTAAGCGGTTCTGGAGCGGGACGGGGACTTGTTTTGGGATGGTGCCAGGGCACAAATGGTCCCCATGCAGCAGCAGGTTTTTTCCCCAGCAGCTGCCACCCAGCTCTGGCCCTGCAGCCTGTCCCACCTCCCCGTCCTGCAGTGCCAGCGTTGAAAGCTATCATTAGAAACCATTGTATTTAAATTGGAGATAATTTAGGGCATAATGTGGGGAGCGGGCGCGGGGTGGAGCTGGGCAGAAAGCTGCAATTTCCCCAGCATTGTCCCTGCACGTCCCCGGCTGCCGCAGATCCCGGGGATTTAGCAGCCAGGCTGTAATTTGTGCCACGTGCAAGGAGCCGGTGTCACCAGGCTGCCTGTCACCGCTGTGACGAGCTGTCAGCCCTGCCGGCTGCTGCCAGCAGCTCCAGGACACCGGGAGGCAGCCCCGGCCGGACCGGCCCCTCCGGCCGCATTCCCGCCCGGAGCCGCAGATGCTGGACACATCCCCCTACTCCCACTGCACCCACTTCCATGAGGCCACCCTGTATGTGAGGTGATATTAGGTTCATTTTGTGTATAATGCATGTGTGACAGTGAGTCCTTCTGGCTTCCCTAGGACCGAGTCGGTGGCCGAGAAGATGCTCACCAACTGGTTTGCCTTCCTCCTCCACAAGTTCCTCAAGGTAAGTGAGGGATGGAGCTGAGACCTTCATGTGCCCCTTGGCCGTCGTCTTTCCCTCTTGCTCTTTCCAGAGCACTCATCCAGCCGTCCGTTGGGTGAATCCGGGCTTGAATTTGCCCAGTGGGACCCAAAGCAGAATGTAGTACAGTACCCTTTTTGCCCGTCTTGTTCATTGTAGCCTGAAATTTTTCATGTGAGAGAGTTTCTACTGCTTCCCCTGAGCCCTGTTTACAGGTTAATGGATCTCCCTGCTTGGGAGAGTGCTTTCTGCTGTTCAGCTTAACTTTCCCAGGCTTTGGTTTCACCTCATTTCATCTGGCTCTGTCCCCCCAGAGCACTCCAAACAGATCACCCTCCTGAGCGCTCACACCTCGTTAGTGCTTACAGGCAATTATCACTTAGTCTTCCGTGCCTGCACTTCAGTATTTCTTGACTTTGTTTTTGGAAGCACCGCAGAACTTGCTTCATGGGAGTGAACAGTGAGGACTAGATCTCAGATTCCCCCTTTTGCAGCAATATAGACTCAGTAAAGACGTAGCAAGCCAAGGACAACATCCCCAAGAAGCAGTGTAGCTCGTGGCTTGGGCTCTCCTCTCTAGGCCCTGCTGGGAGCTGCAAGCCAGGCTTGCACATGTGCTAAGGATTAAGTCAGTGGGATTGTGCATCCCCTGTCACGAGCAAAGGTGTCCGCAGGCAAGCGGCCCCGGAGGAGAGGCTCCTTCACCCCTGGGTTAGTTTTGCTGTCTGTCTCGTTGTGCAGGAGTGCGCTGGAGAGCCCCTCTTCATGCTCTACTGTGCCATCAAGCAGCAGATGGAGAAAGGCCCCATTGATGCCATCACGGGAGAAGCGCGGTACTCGCTGAGCGAGGATAAGCTGATCCGGCAGCAAATCGAGTACAAAACTCTGGTGAGTGGTCTCTGTAGAAGCTGGGTTTGGGCTATGCTGACGTTTAGGCCAGGGGTTTGGGCACTACCACGGAGCTCCCACCGAGTCCCCAGGATAAACCACAGCCCTGAAGCTGATGCAGTAATCTGTAACATCCAGAGCTACAAATCCAAGGTAGAACCTTTGGCTGTGGGAGCCGTCCACGATATAAGTTTGTACCTCATTTGTAGCCCACTGAGCTAAAGGTTTCAAAGGCAGAGTTTGAGGGGAGATTTTGACCGTTATCGTATCTCTGACAACGGACAAAGAACAATGGAATTGTATTTTTATCCTTTTAAAAATATGCTAAATGTGATATCCATGATGCAAATAAGGATGCAATGTGGGTGTTTTATGAGAATTAGTTGTGTGACAGCTGCTGTTACTGTTCTTCTGAATACCTGTCTGAAATCTTTTAGAACGTGGTCTGGTTCTCCTTCCTTTGCAGATCCTCAGCTGTGTGAACCCAGATAATGAGAACAGTCCAGAGATCCCCGTCAAGGTGCTGAACTGTGATACCATCACTCAAGTCAAGGAGAAGATCCTAGATGCAGTATACAAAAATGTCCCGTATTCTCAGAGACCGAGAGCTGTTGACATGGACTTGGGTAGGAGCTTCCCTACTGCATTAGAGACTGTTATCAGTGGTCATTAGTGGGATTTGCAGAGCTTGAAGGCTAGAGCTGAGGCTGGAGTTACCCGCACAACTACACGCACATTTCTGCCCCAAGGAAGCGTGGATGCTGCTCCTGTCAGATAGGTTTTGATCTCTGTACATTCAGCTAATTGCCCATTCCCCAGTGAGCAAATAATTCCTTATTCTCCTTGCCTTCTTTGAGCAGAGGCTTTCCACAAGAGCCTTCATCTTCCCAGAGCCGAAGGGCAGAGGGTCAGGAAAGGCTCTGCACTTAGCTGCAAAAAAACTATCTATATAGACTTCATTATAGTTATGAGATTTTAGAAAAGAAATCAGCTTTCTTTGAATCCCTTATCAGGGGCCCTGTAAGATAGGCTCAGCTTCCAAAGAGCTATTGGGCCGGCAGTGGCAGAGGCCGTTAGGTCTCCTACGTGTCTGACATTGTGTCTGCCTGGCTTTTGGCTCTTGCAGAGTGGCGCCAGGGCCGGATAGCTCGCGTGGTGCTGCAGGATGAAGACATCACCACCAAGATTGAAGGAGACTGGAAGCGCTTGAACACCTTGGTGCATTATCAGGTAAGAAACCAGCCTTGGCAGAGAGGTACCAGAAAGGTGCCCAGGGGAAGGAGAAGAAAAGCAGGAATTTAGCTCCCAAGTGTCTCATCTACCAAGGCAGACAGAGAGGTCACGTTCGTGTGATAAACCAGACTGGCTCTGTGTGCTCATGCATTAAACAGGAAAGCAACCTTGACATGGATCTTAAAGCAGCTAGCAGAGTTGAAAATTGGCTAAATTAAAAATGCCAGCAGCACGCGAGCCAGACGGAGCCTTGGAAAGGGCTGAGCTGCCACTGCTGGAGGCCCAGGGTCTGGCAGGATTGCTCTGTGGGAAAGGAGCATGATGAACCTCCTGAGCAGACAGGCAGGCTGCAGAGGTGACTGCTCTGTCACATTCATGATCTTCCTACATGTTGATTCCTGATCGTCATGCAAAACACAAAGGAGGGAAAGGGTATTTACTTCAGTACTGTCAAATGAGAGACTCTAGGGTTATTGCTGTGGGTCACAGGGCAAAGCTAAGTCAAGTAAGGGTGAATATCAGGAGCTGCTTCTTGACAAGCTAACATCAAATCTCCTATATTTCAGATCTGCTCTTCTAGGGCAAATAGCAGGAGTTTTGTCACCAAAGTCACATACAATTTGGCTGGATGGTGAAAATACTTTATTTTGCATTGGCCTGGGTGGACTGGATGACCTAAGAAATGTTTCCTGTCTTTAACCTGTGCAGCATTCATGCCCTTGTGCTGCCCAGGCTGCTCTAGATAGGCACCTGTCAATTGGAAAGTGCTTCTAACAGCATGCAAAAAAAGCAAAAAGGGGTGAAGAAAGAGCTGGGGAAAGTTTGGTTAAGTGGAATCAAAGGCCTGTCTGCAGCAGAAGATAACTGCATTAATTGGGACCTGTAACCTACTACTGTCCATCACTACCTACACTGAAGTGTTTAGTATTTAATCTGGCATCTTTCACTGTTTATACAGCGTCTCGAGTCCATCAGCGTGACTCCTGCTGTGTAAGTTGAATGCGAGCCAGTATTGACAGCAGCCATATAATCAGGGAGTGAGGCAGCGAGAATGGCATAAATATGCAAAGTGCATGTAAAAAAGCAGCTCTAGAGGCAACTTTTCCAAGCAGCCTGAAGGATTTAAACACAGATTACCTTAAAAATCTCACGGGAGCTGGGCATATAAATTCCATTGTTGGCTTTTAAAATGTGTTTTACCTGACAGTTGTAAGGGATTAACCAACAAGCAGGGAAGCAGTAAGACTTTATTATGCCTTGATCTTTAAAAGTCATCTAAGGAAGCCAGGAGTGAAATTCAGGTCTGTCTGATGTGTGTTGGGTGCTAGGGGAGGGAGCGCTTTCATTTTAGTGCCTGTGGGAAACCCGAGCCATTACTTTACCCTTAAAATAAGCAAAATCCTTACAGCACTCAAGGCACAGCAGCTATTCTTACCATTTGAATGTCAGTTTTGCTCTGGAGCAAAGCAGGAGTTTGCTGCCAAGTACCGGAGTAGGTAGCGGCTGCACATGTCTCTCCTCGCTCTGGCCAGAACTCTGAGCAGCCAGAACAGAGCTGTCGAAACCATAAAAAGAAGCCAAGTTCTCGTCACCGCAACAGAAATCTCAGGGCTTTTGCCAAAAACAAACAGCCGGTTTTTTTTGCATTTCTACCAGGGCTTTTCTTCTGTTTGAGTAATACATGTTTTTATTAGGTATCAGAAATACAGATGCTCCAGGGCTGCACAGTAAAACAAATAGACAGGCAAAGGCACAGTCTCGAAGAGGGTATAAAAGCAGCTGGGTTTGAGCACTGCTTTACCACTATTTTAACCAGGAGCATCCAAGCGAAGGGACCAGGGATAGTAGTAGTAGCCAGAGACTCTTGTCACCGGCAGGGACGTGGGAAGGGAAAGCTAGCTGCTGTGGAGCAAGTGTGGTTCAAGCCAGAAAAAAGAAATCCAGATTGCTCTGGCTTCTGGAGGACTGATGAGGTAGTGACTCTTTTGAAGAAGCCACTCTTTTCTAGCAATAATAAATACTAGCTCTGCAAAGCCACCTTCATCTGCTGTTCAGAACAGTCTCCTCCTTTGGTCAGATGCCTTTCCCCTTGCTTGGTGCTTTTATGTGCTGATCTGAAAGCAAGGAGTGCTCTGTGCTTTGTGCACGGGAACCGGAGAGGCACGCGGGGGTTGTCTGGCATCATTGCAGGCATTTTGTGCTTTTTATGCTTTGGGGCTTTAGAGGCACCATTGCAGAGGAGTAGTCACTGGAGCAGGCACCAGCAAGTCCTTGAGCTTCGCAGGTTTGTGCCTGGCTGGTTCCTGGGCTTGGCTCCCGCAGCAGCTCAGCGCCCTGCTGCTCCTCGGGGATCGAGGGCCAGCGCTCACCAGGGCCCCCGCCAGCCTTCCTCCCGTGCTCAGCATCAGCAAAATGACGTTTTTCATGGGATAATTATTTAATTGCAAGACTCTCCTCCCTACATATTCCTCTGCTAGAAATTTATACCATGTCTTTATTTTCTGAGTATGTAAAATAAGAATACACCGTAGGTCTGCATCAACCGGGAAAATGTATTTTCAATGGGAAATCCTAACATGTAAAAGCCAGATTGGTTTTTAAAAGAAATATTAAACTTTTTCTAATATTTCTGAGCTGCCGTATAGAACTATATAGAGAACTGCTATGTATAACTGCTATTTCCTCATTTCTAAAAATAGATTTATAGGTTAAATAGGTATAATTCTTTGTTAAAGTCTCTGGAGCTTTTGCACTAAGTTATGAAGAATCATATTTCATTTGGATAGTATCCTCTTGGTTTCATGCCTATTAAACTTGATGGGAGACTCTCACCCCCATGTGGCTTTACTGAAGTGAAATGAATCACCAAATTTAATATTGAATGATTTACAGTGGCTCACGCAGGGTTAACTCGGAGGCAGCAAAGCATGAATACCTGTCAGCCACTGGGAGTCCGGAAGGGCTGAGAGATTAGAAAACTATTTTAAATGAAAAATTAGAAGCAGAGAGGGAAGATTTGTGCAGAAAATGAGATGCAGGAGCCAGCAGTGGCTTGGCTGGGAGCCTCCACCTGGAGCCGCTTAGCGGTGCTCGGTGCGGGCCGGCTCTCAGCCGCGCTCCCGCTCGCTTCCTCTACCCTACTTTTTCCTTTCTTTAAGGTATTTCCAGCAGTACATTTCCAGATCAGGGGAGAATCGGAATATTTATCAAGTTGTAAAACAGCCAGCCAGCTTCTGGAGCATCTCTAGGGCTTTGTGGGAGCGTGGCAACAGCGGGAGCGATGGGGAAGGAATGTGTGCTACATCTGATGCTAATTTAATACGCTGGTGTTTTTTAGCTGACAAGAGCCATTCGACCCCAAATTTAGAGAGTGAGAGGAGCACCGCAGGTGCACGAGGCATTTGCAATACCTCCCTCCTGGTTAACCACGGTGCCGAGGGAATCGTATCCCCGTGCAGAGGCCAGGGAATCACCGCCTGCGCACGAGGCTCTGGGGCTGTGTGCCCGGGTTTCTCTGGGCTGAGCCTGAGCTGAAGTGGCAGCTAATAACAGCCTAAGAAAATAATATCACCGCTGATCGTTTCTTCCATCAACTTAATAAATTGGATGAAGTGAGGCAGGAATAGAAGAGGAAATAACAGAGGTGTTTGAAGTGTTTTGCTTAGAAATATCTCACTTTTGCACCGTGAAGCACAAGTGGCTATTATTTCCACTATCACTAGCAATAATAATAACTCGCATTTGCGGGAAACCTCTCATTTATGGAGACCCCAGGCCTTGCAGGGAGCATTGTGCATTCGGGAGCGTCCTGTTGCAGGTGGAGCAGGCGGCTGCTGCTGCAGAAGTCGCAGGAGCTTCATCCGGGGCGCGGGGAGGCTCCCGGGGAGCAAAGTGCAGCTCCCACTCGGGAGACTGCCCAAAGCTCCCATGGGAGCTCCCCTAGATCCAGGATATATTAACTTACAGAGAGCAGCTTGGTGGGACCGAGCTTTGATGGGCAGTTTCTCTGGCCTGGGATTTGCCTCCCCCTGCCCCACTGTGTTGTGGGGCAGAGCTGGAAGCTGCTCGGGTCTCGTCCTTGCAATCCTGCACCTTCCTAATTAACCAAAACAAGTTGAAAAACTTCCAACGACTGTTAGATTTTTAGGGAGGGTAAAATTAAGCACCGCTACTAAAATCTCCTATCACAGACTCTTGTTAGCACTAATGTTCATTTACAGTTTGACTTCCCAGGATTTAATTCCTTCTCTGCTGCAACAGAGAGACTGACAATTTAAATCCCTAAAGATGGCTTTATGACTTGCTCGGCTGCAAATCAAACTTTTAAAGTTCATAAAAAAATGTTAAAATAAAAAAATTTTTAATGGGGATGCTTTATGGTCCATAACATTATTATAGCTGTTTTATTCCCTCTGCATTGTTACGCTTTAATTGGATCACAACAGGCCTTGAGATTTGCCATTTTTATTGGATAAAATATAATCTTAATTCAAGAACAACTCAAAACCTCTTCAATATGTCTTTTGATTTAGCACTTCTTTCATTCCTTCCTTCTTTTTTGCCATCTGTCCATCCATCCATCCATCCATCCATTCATCCATCCATCCATCCATCCATCCATCCCTTGTTGTTAAACTAGTCCTGACTGCCCACAAGAGCATTTGACCAGATGGGGAGCATGTGCAAAGCAAGAGGGACCCGTTTCTCCTGCGAGTTCTTTGCTGGGTTTGAGGTCACTGGATGAGCTGCAGCATCCTCGGTGCAAACTGCAGCATCCTCACTGCAAACTGCATCATCTTCAGTGCAAGCTGCAGCATCCTCACTGCAAACTGCAGCATCTTCAGTGCAAGCTGCAGCATCCTCGGTGCACGCAGGCACTCGTGCTGACCTCCCCTTCTCCTGCTCTGCCTCCCAGGTGTCGGACCGCTCGGTGGTGGCCCTGGTCCCCAAGCAGACCTCCTCCTACAACATTCCCGCCTCCGCCAGCATATCCCGGACGTCCATCAGCAGATACGGTAAGTAAGGTGTGGAAAAGGGCCGGCTGTGCTGGAGCTGCTGAAAAAATTAGCTAGGAATTCAGGCTCTTCCTCTTAGAGCGCCGGGAGCCAGCGGCCAGCTGGCTCCCGGCGCTCTAAGAGGAAGAGCCTGAATTCCTAGCTAATGGGTCAGAAATGGGAAACAACATCGTAACTCAGCGTGCGGGGATCCGCACACCTGGGAACGCATCATTTGCATAATAGCATGGTTAGGCATTTACACATGGTCCCTAAAGGGCCTCCGCGCTGAATAAATGAGCTTGTGAGGTGCCAGGTGTGCATTTAAAGCACTAAATCCACAATAATAGTAATAATATGCTTCCATAAAAGGTAGCAATGGAAAATTCTCCAGCACGCTGATTTCTCATTAGCTTTCTTTTTACACAATATTTTGCAAATGAGGGCTCTCCTGACAAACTTGTCTCCCTGTCTTGTTTATAGCTCCCAGAATAATTTTTTTTTCTCAAGAAAGGGGGCTGGAAAGGCATCCGAATGGCAAGAGGGCCTTTGGGCAAAAGCCGGGTCAGGCTCTGCATATTGGAGAAATTCTCACAGGGAAATGCAACCCACCCATGAGTGCCCAGAGCTTCCCTCTCCTCAGGTGATGAAAACATCTAAGCTGGGTCACACAACACGAGCCTTAAGTTCTCATTGATCTTTGTCAGGTGGAAAAGCCTCTGCGAGCTACAAATATGAATGATCATCGCTCATGTTAAGATTAATACTTCTAATTGTGCAGACAGAATTTAAATGAGATACTTATTTACTTTTCCATTATGTATCAGTATGGAGCTGTGTTTAAAAATAGACTTACTAGATGCTTCTCGCTGTCCCCCTATGTTTTTCCTTAATTACATCAGCTGGAATACTCATTTATCTCAGCCTTAATCAGAGATGAAAATCTAGCTGTTTTTGTAATGACTCCTGTACTTCCTTCTGCTGATTTATGATTGATCCTCTCACCTCGTCCTTGCTGGGAAGGGGAGTTGGACTGGGGGAGCACAGAGGTTCTCGAGGAGCCGGGACATCCAGCATGGGCTGAAATGGCTGGGGCCATGTTATGTCTTGGCCTTGCAGACTCCACGTTCCGGTACACGGGCAGCCCCGACAGCCTGCGCTCCCGGGCCCCCATGATCACCCCGGACCTGGAGAGCGGCGTCAAAGTCTGGCACTTGGTCAAAAACCACGACCACGGAGACCAGAAGGAAGGGGACCGGGGCAGTAAGATGGTGTCCGAGATCTACCTGACGAGGTTATTAGCTACAAAGGTAACTGGCTTACACCAACATTTGCTCGGGAAACGTATAGTGATGCCCTTCATGCTTTGCTTGCCCTTGATTAACCTTAATTAGCCTTACATGTTCATTAGCGAAGCTTGCCCTGTGGCCATGGTCCTGCCTGTCCCTGTGACCTCCTGCACAGAGGCAGGAGCTGCCCTGGTTCCCCGTGCAGCAGCCTCGCAGCCGCAGTCAAGCATTGCATTGCTGTTGTAGCTGCAATACTTCACTCCTCCCCAAGGCATTAAAGCTCTGAGAGTTGGAAAGGCACCAGAGTGCCTGTAAATTGGCACCTTCCCCTGCCGCAGAAGGTCTTGCTGCCTTTTGCTGTCGGCTGCCGCTGCAGACAGCGCTGCTAGGCCTCAGAAAGCACAAGGAACTGTGTTTTGCCTTAGAAATAAAGCATGCGCGCAGCCCGAGCGGTGCAGCCGCGGCGCGGAGGCGTGCGCGGTGCCGCCCAGCCCAGCCCTCACCCCGTCGCTGTCCCCCAGGGCACGCTGCAGAAGTTCGTGGACGACCTGTTTGAGACGCTGTTCAGCACGGTGCACCGGGGCAGCGCGCTGCCGCTCGCCATCAAGTACATGTTCGACTTCCTGGATGAGCAGGCCGACAAGCACGGCATCCACGACACGGACGTGCGGCACACCTGGAAGAGCAACTGGTGAGTGCGGAGCGGGCAGCGAGCAGGGCCACGCACGGCCCTCCGCATCCCGCTGCGGGACGGAGTTTCGGGAACAAGAGGGCTGCAGCATGCACAAACTGATGCTGCACCGCGAGCACCGCGCGTGCAGCCGCCCCGGCTGCAGTGCAGTGCTCTGCAAGCAGCGGGAGCTCCGCGCCGCTGCCACTGCCGTTATTTCGGGATTAAAAGCACTGTGAGCTAGAAATGCACCTCTGTGACGCAAGGGAAAGAAAAACAACAAATGGTTGCTCCCGGGGGACTCTGTACCCCCTCCAGTCCCTGTGGTTTAAAAAGCCTCTAATCATCACGTCTGCAAAAGCCAGCTTCCCTGCTAAGACTGTGGGAAGCTAAAAACATTTTACTGAAAGCCTTAGCAGAGGGACTTACTAGGATAAAACTGCTCAGATGGTGAAGGCAGGTGACACTTCTTAAAGCTGTAAAAAAGGACAGTGGCCGGTGGCAGAGCTGATCCCGCGGAGCCCTCGCGGCGCTGGAGCCCGGCCGGGGTCCCCAGGGCGCGAGGGCGGACGGGTGTGCGCGACGTGCTGGGCGCCGCAAGGGTTAAGGCTGGAGCTGCCAGTGCTGCTCGCTGGGTAGCGAGAGTCTAGACTTGAAAGGTAATAGGAAGCAGCAGCTGCTTTTTTGATCCTGTCATACAGCCGAAGAAAAAAGGAATAATAATTCCCCTTTGATTGCAAAGGCCTCGGGATTTGGGGACGGAGGCTCTGATGCCGGCTGCCCGCCCTCCTTCGCCGCCCGGCCGGTGATTAGCGCGGCTGCGGCAGCGTCTCTGCCCCCAGCTCAGCCCACGACACACTCAGGTTAATGAACTCTGACTAATGGACTCCTGGTGCAGCCTCTCGCCGGCACACGCTGCTCTTGCCACCTTGCGAGGGGAGCTGGCCACCCCGCTGGGCCCTACGCTGCCCACCTGGGCACGGGGAGGACCCGCAGCAGCTCTTCCCCTTCCTTCACTCGCCATTAACCTCGTTCTTCATTTCCCTGCAGCCTCCCTCTGCGCTTTTGGGTGAACGTGATCAAAAACCCGCAGTTCGTGTTCGACATCCACAAAGGCAGCATCACGGACGCCTGCCTCTCGGTGGTGGCCCAGACCTTCATGGACTCGTGCTCCACCTCGGAGCACCGCCTGGGCAAGGACTCCCCCTCCAACAAGCTGCTCTATGCCAAGGACATCCCCAGCTACAAGAGCTGGGTGGAGAGGTGAGCGGCGGCGCAGGGTGGGAGCTCTGGCCCCGGGCTCGCTCCAGAGCGGCAGCTTGGCTCCTGGGGATAGGTGGTATCATTCCCGCTCTCACTATCATCAGTGAGGGATTAAATCCCAAGGAGAGGGGCGTTCTGAGGCTCGTGTTCCTCGTGGGCTCCCCTCACGCTTGCCCCTTTCTCGCAGGTACTACGCAGACATCGCCAAGCTGCCCGCCATCAGCGACCAGGACATGAACGCCTACCTCGCGGAGCAGTCGCGCCTGCACGCCGCCGAGTTCCACATGCTGAGCGCGCTCAACGAGATCTACTCCTACGTGAGCAAGTACAGCGAAGAGGTGGGTGTCGCTGCAGGGCCCTGCCCTCTGCATGTCACACAGCGTGAGGGAGGGCCCGCCTTGCAGCGTGGCCTTTGCATCGCCCTGCCCGTGTCCGTTTGTCCACGCACAAAGGGGTTTGGGTCCTGGTCACGGCACTTCCCAGGAGGCTGGAGAGCTCAAACATGGTGTGAGCAGCTGAATTTCTCAGCCTTGGCGTTTCCGCAGTGCAGCCTGCTCCTAAATACAGTGGAAAATCGTCATGACCCATTGAACCTCCCCATCTTTGGGGAACAGAGTGGCACAAATCCCATGTTGCAGTGATGCGAACTTCTGCTTGCAAAAAATTCCTGGCAGCATGAGCTGCTTTAATGAATGCATCACTTGAAACCAAGTTCTCGCCATCTGTTCCACCCCTTCATTTCAGTGTAAGAAGAACCTATTTTGCAATTACATCGATTAAAAGGAAGGTTTTTGTCACTTAATTGCATGTATGCATTTGTGATACAATGCCGCAACCATTTTCCGATTAGGATCTAAAATCTCATAACTTTCATGCTAAATGAGACAGGAAATGTAGAGTCCAAGGTACAAGAGCGGGAATGACTGCGTTGTGCTGGGAATGTGCACTGAACAGTCCAACAAATAAATCAGCGTGACTGTGGAATGGCACAGCACTCCCTGCTTTACTTTGCCATTTATTATTTAAGTTTCATTTGTTGGAGCAAAACTAAGGGAAGGGATTTATTGTAGCTTCAAAACCTCAGCAACTGCATGTTGTGTTGCTCCGGCTGAAAGGAAGTCCTGCACCAGAGGAAGTCTTGTTAGTGCTGCGCTGTCCCAAAGCCACATGCAACACTCGGCATTGCTGGTGCCGGTGCTATGCACTACACCCATCCCAGGAATCTTGCATGGTGCCATTGGGGTTTGCCTGGTACATATCACTGACTCTCCTGTGTCCCGTTTGTGCCCATTTTGAGAAGCTCATGTCTTTCTGAACACATGCCCAGGTCCTCACTCTCACACTGACTTCTTTCTTCTCTCCTGTCCTCTTTTTTTTTTTTTTTGTACCAGCTCATCGGGGCTTTGGAGCAGGATGAACAGGCACGTAGGCAGCGTCTGGGATACAAAGTAGAACAACTTATAGGTGCCATGTCTATTGAGAGCTGAAGAAAGGTGGTGATGCTCACGGAGAAGAGCAGCGCAGCGCAAGGACTCGGGAATAAAGAGCGCAAGCAAGAAAGGCACGGGACACACACGGACCCCAAGGTGTTTTCTGGAGGGAGCAGACACTGACCCGAGGAATGGTTGTGTCCAAACCCCCGTGGAATGCAGGTTGGAAAGACAAGGCAAACATAGACAAAGCATCTCAATCCAAATCCAGTCAAGACGGATCAATTCTTCAAGTATACATGGCAGGAAGGAACCTAGAAAGTCTGGATGTCTCCATGACTGCTGCTTTGCATGAAAATTGTTTGATGTATATTAGGAAGTAAAACTTTATTTAATTTTTTTTTTAAAAAAAAAGAAAAGAAAAAAAAAAAGAACAAAAACCACAGAGATAATCCTGGCAACACAGCTCAGTTCTCATTTCTGTCTTCATGAGATTCCTGGGGTGAGGCAGGTGGCTCACATGGTCTATGAAGGGGCTCTTCAGCCAGCAGGAAAGTTTGGGAAATGGAATTTCTCTTCCTCCTGGGATCTTGTTGAAATATGAGCACAAGTTTGCACCAAGCCTTTTTCCACAAGTAAGGTAACAGTTCAGCCAGGGAGAGCTTCAGTGGCAGAGTAAGTTATAGGCATCAGAAGGAACTCTACCTGAACTGAAAAAAAACCATCAGCTCATCCAACCTGTCTTGAAATCCAGCTTTATCTATGTATTTATATAGTGTCTATATATATCTATATTTTTTAAATCCCATTTCCTGTCGGATGAGGAAGGATCAGCTTTGCGGCGCGTTTCGTCCCCCCGGCCGGCGCGGCGCGGCGCGGCGCTGCTTTGCCTTCCCGCAGGAACGGTTGGGTGCCGCGGCTCGGCGCTCGGCCCTGCCTTGCGTGGGGGTTTGTGGCAGCCACACGCAGCTCCTTGCGGTGAAACCCAGGCGCGAAGGCCGTGTTTACAGTGAGCGATACTTGAAAAGGTTAGCGGTAGGGAGATGATGTATTTATTGTTTTCCTGTTCGCCCGGGAGGGCAGAGCAGGCTCCGTTCCCCGCCGCCCGGCAGCGTTTGCAGTGTCACCCGTGGGCACAGAGCCCTCTGCCCTCGCAGGGAGGGGAGCCCGACAGTGCCCGCCTGTCTGTGTGTCTGTCTGCACATCCCGTGGTTGCGTTCAGTCCCCACTGGCCCCGGCGGCCCGTGGGACACCGACATTTGTGAGTGTTTTTCCTCTAAAAGACACCAAAGCTCCCGTGTCCCTTGGGGAGGATGCCGGGAGAGGAGGGAGCGCTGCGACGCTTCCCCCTGCAACGACTTGGTGGCCCGTGAGCACCGACGGCCTCTCCAAGACCGAGCAGAGGGGCAGGAAGAGCTTCCGTGTGGCCGGCGGCTCCTGCAACGATTGGAGAGGCGCCTGCTCCGGGCTCGAGTGCGGCTGGAGAACTACTCAGGAACCTTGTCCTTCTAATTAGCATCCTCGAAAAGCCATCCGAGCCGCTCGCGTCGGCTAGCGCACCGGTGCGAGCATCTCTGGGCCTTATTAAGAGTCTGGAGGAGACACTAATGACTGTCCTTGTGCAGCGCGCTCCTGACGTTTGTGGCAGCTGCGCTCGGGACCCGCGGGGCTCTCATTCACCGAGACGTGCAGGGCTGCCACGGAGAGGGGCGGTCGGAGACAGGGCTGAGCACGGGCGGCCTCTTAGCCGGGAACCGGCCCCTGTGCCGAGTCCCACCTCACAGCGGCCAACGGAGCCCTGTGAAGTTGCCCTGCTGAAGCTGGTGCCCAGGTTTGCCCCCCAAACCGCCGTGGTACCGCAGCCCCCCCAGGCAGTGGCAGCCTGTGTGTTCACTTGGACAGTGTTTTCCATAAGATTCCCAGAACATGGATGCTGCTGACATGGTGGCGCCGGGTGCCCCACATTGTCCAGGTGTCCCGCTGGTGCCGGCGTGCAAGGACTGGGCCTGGAGTGAGTGCAAAGGCCAGGGAGAAGTGGGTGACGGGGTGCTGGGTTTGTGTGTCCTGGGAGGAGATGGAGCAGAGGAAGGGACAAAACCAGCGGGAGCTCCTTGCAAAGCAGGGGAGTATTAAACTTCTGCCTGGCCTCCCGAGGGGCACGGCTGGAACATCTATTCTTCCATCTTTTAAAAGGGCACCAGGCTTCGCGGGATCGTGAGCGGAGCAGCACGGTGCTGCCTGCAAGGGATGGCCTATAAATTATCTACCGAGTGTCTCCTTGTGGTGGTGGGCATGAATTATAGATCTTTACAGGCAATTATATGGAGTGAAGCAACATGTCCCCTTGGGCAGAGCCCCGGTGTCTGCTGCCCTGCTCGCATCTGACTTATCAGCCACTCCTTTGGGAATGGGAAGCTCCAGATCTCCCTGTGGATTTTCCCTGGCGCTTGCAGCAGCCTGGACTCGAGGGCAGGGACTTTGCCTTAGATGAGACCATTTCGCCTGGCTCCCGTTGCCCGGCTCCGCGCACGGCTGTCCCCTTTGTGACTCTCCACTTCGTTTCAGGTGTTTCGACATCAAAGTGGGAGGCGTCATTTGCTGGGATCTCTCTGTCTGGCGTTGCCGCTTAAATAATTCCATTTAATTTAAGCTCCTGCGCTTTCAAAGCCCCCGCTCCAAGGGGGAGCCGGGTGCTAATCAAACGCTTCTCCACCTTGAAAGTCTTTGTTAGAATCCCGGAGACGGGAGGCGAACAGAGAGGCAAGGCCGCCTGGGCCCCGCCGGAACGCCGGGATGCACAGGGACACAGGGCTGCATGGGCCGATCCGTGTTGGATCCAACAGGATGATCCATGATGGAAGGAAGGCAGGAGAGATGGGCACGGCCAGAGTGGAGCCCTGGTGGGATCCCGCGTGTGACGGCTGCGCCGGGAGCCCGGCAAGGAGAAGCGGAGCCACGGCCGGAGCCCTGATGCCAGCGGGAAGCAGAGCGTGGCACGGAGCGGGGATTATCCCAGCGACAAGCCTGGCCTTGAATGTGTGGATGGCGCCGCTTCCCGCAGGCTCTCGGTGCTGTGACGGGACAGGGCGCCGAGGGCAGCTGAGCCCTTCATCACAGCAGTGCCTTCCACACACTGTCTTAACTCCCTGTGACCCACCGTCCCGCTGGAATTACCCAGCTGGATTCACCCCGAACACCGGCACGTGGGGAGCGCAGGAGCCCTCGGTGTGCTTGGGGCACCAGCAGACACAAGGAGCGTCCCCGAGCGCGGTCCCTGGCCTGTCCCAAAGCCCGTGTCTAAGCCCGGGTGCTTTATCCTGTCCCTGGCAGTGCTTGGTCCTGTCCTGCCGGCCCTATCGAGGCGCCGTTGGGATTTGCCTGTGCCCAGGACTGAAACAGGCTGGGAAAACTGCCTGGATCCCGCGGAGGAAGCCAAAGCAACGGTCAGAGAAGGATAAACAGGCGGCGGCTCCGCTGCCGCCCTCAAACACGACGGGACAGGCTCTGTCCGTGCTGGGAATGCTGACGTGTCCGTGTGGAGTCCTCCAGAACCCGCATCCCTGCGTGTCGCCCATTCCCTCTTCCTGTCCTCATGGAAGTGGGGACGCTCCTGCAGGTCCTTCCCTGGGGCAGCTCGGGGTTGCACGAGGGCGTCTGCATCCGCTGCGTCCGTGCCCGGCTGCGCCAAATCCCAAATCCCGCCACAGCTTCCGCCGACCCTGCAGGAAAACGGCCCTGGATCAGCCCGGCACGAGTTCAGATGGCCAAGGGCACCTCGGGGCTGCGACCGAGGGCATGGGGAGCAGCCAGGGGAAGGGAAGATAAAGGTACTAAAATCTCTGGCCTCCCCAAAAAGAGAGAGCCTGGAGGTTGGTGAGCGGCGACTTCTTGGTCATGGAACAGGTTCTTAGCGTTTCTGACCCGCTCCTTAAAAATAATAAATGCCAGTTTTAAGGGATATGTGTGTGGCGGGGGGAAATGCGTTGATTTGTGTCCTTACCCCCCCCCCCGCCTGTTCCCCCTTCCCCCCGTGATACTTGACACACTGGAGTTCTGTACTATATATTTTTTTTAAGATGATTGTCTGTTTGTTTTTGTTTTTTTGTTTTTTATTTTCTGTCATTGTTTTTACAAGTGTTGTGGAAAAAAAAATGTAAGAAAGTTTAAGTATTTAAAAATGTTCCAAGGGGAAAAAAAAGGGGGGGTTTTGTTATTATTCTAATATATTATTGTGTACCTATTGTAAATATGAAACACTCCTATTTTGCAAGCCAAGGACTCACTTTGTACTGTTGTTATATATAAATAAAGTTTCCTGGTTAAAAAAGGAGAGACTCCACAGCGTGTGTCCGTGTTTCCCAAGCGGGGCCGACGTGCGGCACTTGCTGCCGGAATCCGGGGAATCCTCCCGGTGCAGCCGGGCCGGAGGGGCAGCAGGAGGTGGGATGAGTCCCCGGCCTCCGATGCCTCCTGTGGCCTCTGCAGCAGGGCCGGGTTTGCAGACGCTGCACAGGGGAGAGGGGACCGGGGCGGCTCCGGTGCTGCCCACAACCACCGGCACTCGCCTCCTTTTTGCAGATTCACAGTAACGTTGCCGTCGGTGCCCGGAGGGCTCTGCTGAGTGGCAGGGGCCCGTGAGTGACTCCAGCAACAGCTGCCTGTCAGCTTTAATGACCAATATGGTTGCAATTACGGCAATGAACTTTCTCTAACAGCCCCAAATTACTCCGCGTGATGGGAAGTGACAGAAAAATGGAGACCCTTAAGGAAGCATTAAAAATAGGAAGCACGGGGATCTGGAGCAAGAGGTCTTCCCACCTTTTCTAGAGGATCTTGATCTTTATTGATTGATGGATTTAGTAAGTATTAGTGGGGCTATGTGCAATGCAGAAGCGCCGCCCGCTGCGGTCGCAGCAGGATCTGGGTGCTGCCCCAGGAGGGGGTTCGTGCAGACCCCCGTGGTGCCAGCGCGGCCCTACCCTGTCCCTGGGGGGACCCTCTGCTGAGCCGGCCTGGGGGAGACGCAACTTCAGTCCCAAGGGGAAGATCTTTGCATGCAACGAGCTGGAAAGCAGGTGTCAATGAGCGCCGATGGCCTCTGGGAGCAGCCCCTGGACACGGATCCCGCTCCCAATCCACCAGCCACGGGGAGGAAGCACATGGAGCTCTGGCCAAACCAAGCATGGTCAGACACCGGCTCCTTCGCCAAGGGATCCCTTGGAGCGGAGGAGCGGGGAGCTCGGCGCAACCCCGCGCTGCGAGCTGCGGCGGAGCCACGGAGGGGCAGTGCTGCTCCGCTCCGCTCCGCTCGCCACAGGCTGCACAGCGCCGCGAACATGCAAAAGCAGGGAAATCACTGCAGGGAAATCACTGTATTTAAGCTATATTTTGCAAATATAACAACTTCAAAATAAAAAAAAATAAAACAGCCAATTGCATGGTATCTAAGATAAAGAGAGCTCAAATTGCGTTATTGGGAATTAAACATTGCATGCATCTCTAGTAAGATTTGTTTGGAGCATCAAGGAGCCCAGCTTGATGCAGCATCCGTGATGGATGCGACATCGGAGCAATGAATCCAGCTCACACGTCTGTGCAACATCCATAAAGAGGAGAAATAAATTGTAATCGGCAGCCTGCAGGTCCAGGCAGAGACGCTAATCTCTGTGCTAAATTAGGAGACTTTTGCTTTAATGATTTTTATTGGTGTTTTGCAGAGCTGTTGTTAGTTAGGACTAAGTGCTTTGGGCTTGCAAGGAAACAGGACTCCAGGGCTGCGTGTCCCCAGGCTGCACACGATGGCGGGTAGGGAGAGAGGTAGAAAAAGTCTTTCCTAATTTGTCTTTTAATGCTGCATTAAAATTTCCCAGCATTTGTGTTTTAGGGGCTTTTCAGTCATCTCTGGAAAAGCAGGAAAAGGAAGTCTCCAAGTCTTTTTAATACAGAAAATTAATAATCAGGGGCACGTCCCTATTTCTTAGAGCTGGCTGCATTGCCTCTTCTGGGAGCCACCGCCAACTGCTTCCCCTCAGTAAAGTTCAGCCTGGTAATAAAGCTGAAGTCAGTATTTCAGTACCGTTATTAATGTTTCTATAATGTGCTATTAATGGAAATGAGCTACAGCAAGCGATTTATTAGCCTCAGTCCCTCTTCTGCTCCTGCTCATGTGCAGAAGCCTTTGCTTATGAGTGTCCCCGGTCCCCAGCGCGGCTCCTCCACATGTCCCTCAGGCCACAGGCGGGTTGGGTGCTGGGTGTGCTCGAGCTGGGTGATGCTAACGGGGTGACATCCCCAGATCGGTGGGGATACCTCTGCTCCTGGCTTTACCTGCTGGGAAAACTGCAGCTTCCCAAACGGGGGGCTAGGGCGGCCGTGCGGGGGCAGCCGGTCCTGCCAGTGTTGCTCACCTCGAGGGCGGTTAAGAAGTTCTCATCCCAAGTGTGACTGTTCGTTTGGGCAGAGTGACCCACCCCAGAGTGCTGCAAAAGGCGGTGGTTTAGCGGGTTTAGGGCAACGCTTGAGTGCAGGGCCCGAGGGCAGCCGGAGCTGCTGGCACTGCAGCCTGCAGCGGGAGCGGGAACGGGAGCGGCAGCGGCAGCGGGAACGGGAGCGGGAGCGGGAGCGGGAGCGGCAGCGAGAACGGGAGCGGGAACGGGAGCGGGAGCGGGAACGGGAGCGGGAGCGGGAGCGGGAACGGGAGCGGGAGCGGGGCAGGACGGCGGCGCCGGGACGGACAGGCTCCAGGCTCCACCTCGCAGCCCGGCGCGAGGCTCGGCCCCCCCGGGGAGCCCCCCCGCCCCCGCCCCCGGCCGCGGGCGCCAGGAGCGCTGAGCGGAGCGGCGGCCCCGCGCGCGGTCCCCGCCGTCCGTCCCGCAGCCGCCCCGCGGGCACCGGCACCATGGAGCGGCGGCAGCTGCTGTGGCTCGCGTGCTGCGCCGCGACCCTCTGCGGTGAGTAGCGCCGGAGCGGCGCGGGACAGCGCGGGGGCAGCGCCGGGACCCGCCGCGCGGCCCCGGGGGAACCGCGGCTCGCGGAGCCGCCTCCAGCTGCTGCAAACGCAGCCCGGGCAGGGGCAGGGCCTGGCACGGAGCGGTGCCCGCAGCGGCCCCGCGGGCCGACACCCCCAGGGCACCGGGCACCGATAGCGCCGGCCCTGCGGGTGCCGGTGCTGCCGCTGCAGCGGGGCCGGGCAGCCCCACTCGGGCTGGCGGCAGCGATTACAGGGTTGCTGAAATACACATGAAGCTCCACAAATATTAAAATCTCCCGTTTTTTTAAACATGCATAATACCGTTTTAAAAAACTGAATGGCAACACAGAGATTTTCTCTAGGCAGCATTTTTGAAAGGGTTATATTTGAGGGAAACATTATCATTTCTGTCCCAAATCCAACCATGAGGTAATAAAGAAGTGAAGCAACTCTCGGTGCTACACCCTGTGCTGGGCCGGGAGCCAAGGGCCGCTGGGTTCTGGTCCAGTGCAGCTCTCCTGGCCGGCTCTGTGTGGGTGCGAGCGGCTGGAGCTGCCCCAGGGACCCGGTGCTTTTTGTGCTGCTGTTTCTCACACGGTCCCTTTGCCACCCAAGGGAAGGGCAGGGGTGGCAGCTGGGGATGTGCAGAGCAGCACCCAACAAGTGCCCTTGGCACCAAGTTGAATTTGCTGCTAGGGAAGGCGGGCAATGGTCTGATCAGAATGTCCAAACTGGCACCAAATACAAGTAGTTTTAGCCTGTTTTATTACTGATTGCTCTGCCAAGTTTTGATTTTTTTTCAATCTTTTCTTGACATTTTAAGGCTCACTCGCCTTTGCTTTTGTGGGATATGAGGACAGTTCTGAAAGCTGTTGGGCCAAAAGGGGCCGCCCGTTGCAGCCCCGCGTGCTGAGCGTAACGTGTCCCGGTGCGGGGAGATGCTCCCGGCGGGCGTGGGGTGATGCAGGACGGATGTCCTGGCCGGGATGTCCTGGCCGGATTGCGCTCCTGGCTCCTTCCCGCCGCCTTCCCCTCTACCCCCCAGCAGCCCCCACCCACATCCTGCCTGGGGCTGTGGAGCAGGAGAAGAAAGAGGAGGAGGAGAAGGAGGAGGAAGAAGGGGAAGGCAGGACCTTTATTGGCCCTTAGGGACCATCATCATCATCATCATCATGGCCATGCTCTGCTGCGGGTTGTGCTCCCTGCCTGGTGGGGACACAGGTGCAGGGCAGAAAACCCCTACGGATCATGTGTATCTTAAGAAACCCAGACGTCAGAACATTTACTTTTTAAAAGGCAAATAAAATAGCTCCTGTGTCAAATAAAATGTGCCCGTGCTCCCAGGGTGAACACAGGACTTGGCTTAAACTCCTAAGCTTTCCATGCTACTAAATGGTTGAGGTTTATGAGAGCCAGGAGGAACATGCAGTGCAACAAATGCCTCTGCTCTCCCCTGCAGCCTCATCTGCCTCATGAGGCCAAAGGCTCCAGCGGCCGGAGCTGCAGGTGGTGCCGGGATGGGGGGAAAAGCTCCACCGGGCGGCCCTGGGGGGGTCGTTAACCCCCCCTGTTGTTTTTGCAGACATCTGGGCGAGCTCAAAGGCGCTGGGGGCCGGGTCAAGGCCCCGCATTGTTCCCGGGCTGCGGCTTCCTCCCCATCCCACGGGCGGGCGAGGGGCGAGCGCCGCGTCCTGCCCTGCGCCGCCAGCGCCATCCCGGCGGGAAGGGCCTTTTCCTTGAGGAAATGCCGCAGGGAGCCGGCAGCCCCGCTCAGACCCCCGCGCCTGGCGCTCGGCAGCACCAGGACTGCCCACGGGGCCCAATGGAGCCCAGGGCGCTCAACCTCCCCAGCCCAAACCCGCTACAGACAGGGAATTTTTTCACTTTTTGTAAAATTTGGCCTTGCCCAGCCCAGCATCAACACTCCTTTTTGGAAAATGCCCTTGGGGGCAATGCTGGAGCGCCCGCGGGCTGCATGGGCAGAGCTGTGCAACAATTCTGTGGGAGTTCAGGAACACAGCCAGGACGAGGCATTGCTGGGAATTTTCTCTTTAGTCCCCGGATAAGGATCTGAGGCAGCAACAGCCTTGGAGAGGCACAGGAGCTGTCCAGAAAAAGCAGGAATAGATCCTGAAAGATTGGAAGGATTAGGAGAAAGAGAGACAAGTGTTATCACTGACTTGCAAGGTGGTTTCATCTCTGCGGCACCGTCTCCGTGAATGCTGAGCGCAGCCCGGGGTGCTGGGACCTGCTTTGCCTCCAAAGATGCTTTAGCTCCTGGGTCAGAGCGAGGGGGTTTCTGGTGGCTCTGCAGCTGCAAACCGGCTCATTGGAGCTCTGTCCTTCCCCGGCCCTGCTCCGCCGGGCCCTGACACTCTCCTCTCCGCAGGCTGGGCCGCCGGGAGCCCCTCGGCGGCTCCCACTCCAGCCACGCCGGTGGTCCCGGGCGGGCCGAGCAGCAGCGCGACGGGCACCGCTGCGGGGAGCCACGTGGAGCCCTCGCGGGACGGCCCCGGTGACGGTAACGCGGCCCCGCGGGCGCCCGGGCAGCCCCGCGCTGGGTTGGGGGCCGGGGGCTCCCCGGGCGCCCCTCTCACC